TTCAGTAAAGCTTACAAGTCTTCCCCTGATTGTAGAAAAGCACTTCCTCTAGACCCCATTCAGAAAGGCTCTGTGTTACCAGGTGGCTGACAGAGGAATCAGGCCTTATAATACCCAACTGGGCTGTAAATACCAAAGTTATAACGCTGTCAGAGTGTAATGTGTCCGCAAGCAGAAAGAAGCCGTATCTATCCAAATACGTAATGTGATAAAAGAAGAGTTTTGTCCTGGCCTGGCTCCTGTGAGGTGAACAACTGGACACATCATCCATCTGCTGGTGTCTTTGTTGGCTGACAGGGGATCATCCCCTCAGTGCTCGTCTGCACAAGACGTCATGTGTAGTCCTTCAGGCTTGTCATGTGCTCTCCTTCAGGACACTCGCTTTTTGGCTCGGGTTTCTTCTCATGCTGTCAGACAGGTTTGAAGTTGGTGAACTTATAGTAAGAAGAGCATAAACCCACGTTCTGTTTTGGTTTCTACAGGTGCCAGTGTAAACTATACCACTTTAAAATCACATCATAAATAAATAATAATAAACTGTTTCGTTCTATTTGGCTTTGAGCAGAACATGCAGGTAACCAGGCGCAGAGCCTATGGCTCATTGCAGAGGGGGCGGGGACCAATAGTGGGCCCTTAAACTGTCTATAGGCTATATAGCATATGCTGTAGCCTATATAGTAATATAGTATAGCATTTATGGTATAATATCGGCTGTATGGAGATACAAGACGGGGCGGGACGAAGAGAAAAGCCGCTGCAGATTACAAAGGGTGCTATTACAGTGACAGGGACTTATCAGTGAGTGACCTGCTGATGTTTAAGCATAGATAGAAGGCAACTACAGTTTGACATTCAGTGAAGTTGGACGCTCATCCAGCCACACAGACAATACAATAAAACTCACATTATCAACCCACGTACGACAACAAACTTTGTAAACAGTGTGACAGCAATGGCCTGCCGTTCATACAGTACGATAACCAAGCAGACACAGCGGTCTACAACACATACACCCACAAACAAAAGACCAACATCTAAGCGTAATCTCAAATAATGATGAAACAACTTACCAATGAAGTTTTCATCGGCACTGTTGCTTTCCTGCACGGAGCTAGCTGGGTGCTCCTCGCTAACATGTTTATTTGCTTGGCTAGTAGCGTTTACGTTAGTGGAGCTAGCAACGGGAGGAGACTTGCCAGGTTGAGTTGTCAATGAGAAAACATTTTTTATTTAGTTTTTTACACTTTTAATGTTTTAATGTAAAACTCCAGTCAGCAGCTGGGGGCCCAGCAAAGGGGGTGCTAAGAGGTGGAATCAATGACATTACAAACAGGCCACAGCACCCCGCTGGTGCTGTTTGCTGCCGAAGTTGAGAACCCCCTTGGCAGTGGAGGGGGGCCCCTCTCTGCTCTACAAAATACATTGTGTGTCTTGATTGCGGCAAAAGAAAAGAGAGACTCAGACCTAGTCAAACTAACTTTATTCGAAAATTCAACTTAATAACAAAATGCATGTTAAATTTGGCTCAAAGTGGGCCCCTTGAGACAACAATGGGCCCGGGGCGGCCGCACCTTCTGCCCCCACACTCGCTCCGCTACTGCAGGTAACATAGACCACATTGGTACACAAATCCCCATTTGTAGCCCTGAAAAATAAATCTAATGCCACAGATCTCGTATGTGTTATTTATATAAACCCAATGGGTAGGATAAATCCTGTAAAATCCCGATGATGATGTAAATCATCCAGCAGACACATCAGGGAATGAATCAGATCAGTGCTTTTATTTAGAATAACGGGAGCTACTCACTCTGGTCTCTACAGCAGCATGCTTAGTTTATTTTTTTTGTCATGTGTTTTTATTTTCATCAGATTTGCTGAAAGCAGTAAGAGGTGACGTAAGTAAAAGTGAAGTAGTGAATAGTGATACACAAACAATTTTCTTTTCAACATTTGATAGCGATAAAAAAAAGTTGAAAAGGAAACAGCCTTTAGAAATGAATATCGATTCACAATTTTTAACAAGAGGTTGGCCCAGAGACTCGTGTAGAATCCAAAGTGAGCAGAACAGAGGCAGCAGCACATAGCCTTGTGTTGATTCACAGAAAAACGTTCTATCATCACACTCCACCTTCCACTGGTCAAACACACTGCACTGATGTACTGTATCTGTGAGGTACAACAAACTGAAAAACATCTGGCTTCGTGCAAAAGAGTGAACACATTGTCAAGAAGAATACTGCAGCGACGAGGTAGATAGGTGGGTACTTCAGTAAATGTCTCCTGGTGTTTGTCCATATCACAGAAACATATTGCAAAAATGTTCTCAAGGCAGGACCAAACACTGCAGATCCATTTCTCCTTCTGCAATAGTAGGTTCATAAAAACATGCTGGCACTGCTGTCACCTTAAAACTCACAGCTTGTTATTTAAGATATACTGAAGGCTTGAGAATTATCCAACATTAAGTCAAACTATACTGCAGAATCCAAATGCTCAGTTTTCTATAAATAAAAAGTTTAAGAACCTGTTTTGGGTTGTTTCAGTCTGCATACAAACTCTGAATTAGATCAGCTTCAGCCCTACTCTTTGAGACAAGAGGTCAGACTGTGAACCTGTTGCAGCACGGCTCAAAACATAACTGCGGTGATACATTTGAATGAACCTGACTCTTGTGTGAGAAGGTAGGAGGCTGCACTTCCTATTTAAACTTTGAATTGAACAAGTTTGTATTATGATATGTTCAGTATCAAGACTATTTTCTCGTGTGACACCGAGCTGACTCAGTGTCACCTCAAATGCTTGATTGCTTCACTGTGAGACTTTTTCTAACCTTTTTTTTTTGTCCCAAGATAGTGATTTTTTTAATTATTCCCAAAGAGCTAATGCTACAATTTGAAAGGCGTGTGACATTGTGAGACTTTGAACAATAATGCCTCCTCCAGAGTCCCATTAGTTGGTTCACCAGGACAAGTGTTTACTGCGTGACACCAGAGGGACTCTCACTGAGGAGCTTTGTCATGTCATGTCCTGACTCGTCTTTCAAGTAGGAAAAGAAGAACGCAGGGTTTGGTTGATTTATTTGGAGGGTAAAATTGCCCATGAGCTTGAAATTGCCACAGGGGAAATCCCTGCTCAAATGTTTGCCGTCCCTCTTTGTCTTACCAAATGGGATTAGAAAATCTATACAAGCTAAACATAACAGATGTCCAGAGTACACATGAAGACACTGGAGAAAAGTCATCAGTTTGTTTTTGTGCTACTTCTGAGATATTAAACCAATTTTTATTCAAATGTCTAACACTGTGTTCTTGGCTGTGTCATTCTCAATTTGGGGGCAAAATACATTTAATGCATGGCTTCATTCTAACAGGGGGAAGAAATGAGTGGTAGAGTGCCATGTTTCAAAAGTAGCAGCCTCCACAAAGTAAACTCAGACATCCAAAGCTCAATTGAAAGGATCAGCTGAACCTCAGGTAAAGCTGTTTCCAGGACAATCTGATGCTTAGCTACCCTCATACAAGTGTGTCATTATCAGCTCTGAACCAGGGACCAACGAAGCCATCATCATGTTATTCAATTTCATGTTATTATACACTAATACAGACTGCTGGACTGTCATCCAGCAGGTTTGAATGTTTTGTTTTTCAAACCACAGCGTCATGAAGAGCACATTAAACGGCGAGGGTCGTTTTAAACACCCTGATTCAACAAAAATAGAGACTGTGTAAAGCCAGTCAGAAGGAAGGCACCATGTGTTTTGTCTAAAAGTGAAGTCAACCGCAGAGCTGGAGTAACTTGTCAGATATTTGCGTTGGACAACAACCAGTTCAAACAGATTAGCTTTTGAGTCACTCTCCATCTGCTGTATTTTTACTGTTAGTGTTCATTTTGTCTGGAGATATGCAGGAAATCCTTCCTTTCTATCATGTTGGGCTCATGCACAACGAAGTTTAACCCGCAGTTATAGACGTTCACCAATGGTTATACACTCAGTTTTCTCATTTGTGTCTCTCAGGGCCTGCCGGGTAATACTGGACCACAGGGGCGACAAGGGCCATCTGGACCCGTGGTAAAAAACTTATGTCTTGTTAATATAAGTCACTTTTTTTCCTGTTTGATCAACCTGATTTATGGATAGACTTCCTGCTTTTTTTTTTGCAACCTTTCTTTCCCCTTTTCTCAGGGAGCTCCAGGAGCACCAGGATCGCCTGGACCTGGTGGCTCAGCAGGGTCCCAAGGAGAGCAAGGACTTCCTGTGAGTCAAAATGTTTAATTTCAAATTTCTAAATTCTAATATTGAGTTCGCTCCAGATGAAGGAAATAGAGTTAGGGATTTAGTGTGCGGGCTGGGGATTAACACATCTGTGGTGTCACTATGACCTGACCTGAACCTCATTAATGAGCCTCCATTGAAGCCCAGACTGCTCATAAGTGGGCTGTGGTGTCGACTGTAAACTCGGCTCACATGTTATCCCTCCAGTCGGGAGACTATGACATAATTTATCCAAATGAACAAGGAGGACATGACCTCTCCACAGCTTCCTCTGCGTCCTCCTCTTCTTGCTACTGGTTTCTTCTCTTCACATTTCTCCCATTATGCCTCCCTAAATTTACATGAAACAAAGATATCAAAGCTGTATCACATAAAGTTACAGGTCTGTTTAAATATCAATAACACTGTGGTTCGTTTCCAGAGCTGCAGGAGCTTCTGTTGAATGGATTGTTCTTGTTTCTCTGATCGTCCTCACGTTAACTGGAAACAGCCTGTTAGTGTTGGACTCACCTCTCATTATAACAGATGTGTCATTTAGTCACAAGTTAAAACCTCTCACAAGGCTGAGCTCTTTGAATCACACTAAAAGACCAATCATTTCTGCAGTTCTCTCATAATGCGGCTTTTTAAAGAATAATACATATTAGTGAGGGAGATTTTGTTGAGCCTTTCAGAAGGAGAAGAAAGATGTGCAAATGACACTCCACAAGCACAGGAGAGGATGTTCGGTTCCAAACTGTGTGTAATGCTAACAGGAACAGATGATACTGAGACGGTGGTGACAGCTAATCTACTCTCAGGTCAGCTCTGCAGGCCAGCAGCAGAGTTTGGCTCAGAGCGGAAGAGCTATAAATCACTAAACAACCCCCCCCCCTTCCACTCCTCACACACACTAATACACACAGATATACACAATCCCTCTCTGCACATAAATGTATGCACAGACAGCAAACATGGACGGAAAGAGAAAAATAGGTATATCACATCTTGCTTTCCTGAGCCGTAATCTCCAAAGTTTGTTTCAAACTTTAACATTCAATTGCTGATTCAGGTCCTGTTCTGAACCCTTTGACCCTTCACCAGGTCTCTGCTGCAGGAGAACATTTTCCTCTCTGAAGAAGAATATCTATATACATTATCTGAAATTTAAATCTTCAGGGAAATCTAACACCTTTCTTTATCCTAAAGACACAGAAACCTTGTGAAAGTCAAAGCAACTAGCACTTTTCTCAGGGGGACAGAATATAAAGATGCACAGTTTAAGCACTTACAGAACTATCTGCTTTGTTGAGCTTGTGTCCTGTGGTCTAACGTGAAGCAGTTTAGGTTTAGGAACAATTTGATTCAACTGAGACCTATCAAGATCAATATTCATTCATCTGAATTTTTTTTGCTGGTAATGACCTACATATGACCTACAAAAGCATAACAAACCATCACTAGAAGATATGTGTAATGCCTGTCACCACTTCCATCAAGTCAGACAAAGTGATTTACAGCCCACAGACTGAAAGGGCTTTGTTTACATTTTCACTGGCAAAGATTTACATCAATCTTGGATGTTGTTGCGGTTTCATAAACCTCTGTTTTTACATTTGGCCTCACAAGCCTGCCAAGTTATCTCAGCACTTGAGGATGTCCTCAGGGTGTGTCTTTCCTGGACAAAAAAAAATGTTGTTTCAAGCTACACAACCACCTGAGGTTTTTTTCAATTCATCTTGTTTGACTTGGTAGGAAAACCAGCGTATTTTTGCCAGTTACAAAATAAGAAAAAAAGAAACAATGTTCTTGTGACTGAACCATCAGCCCACATTGCAGAGGATATTAATGTACCTCCAGCTCTGCATGAACTGTGAGAGAGAGTGAAAAAATCCTCACCTCTTTGCTTTGGAAAGATTCTGCTAATACAAGGCACTATGGGAAGAAACTTTTGATGAAATAATAAAGAAATCTAATTTTTTTTATGAGCGATACTCTGGTCCTTCTAGGCCCAGATACTTTTTTGTGGCTCCCACACAGTTTGATTTGGTTTTCCCATGTCCCCCTGATAAGACAGAAGACATTTATATGCCCTGAAAGACCCAGGAGGAGGTCCAGACGGACATGAAGAGGGGGTCCAGAGGAGGACTTTTATTGTGGAGTCATGCTCTCCAATTCAACGGCTGTGTCAAATGTTGGCACTGGCTTTGTATCATCTGCTATATAATATGCATCTGACATGCCAGGCGTGTTACACACACACACACACACACACACACACACACACAGTCTGTCAGTTGGTGGTCAAGGACACTTTTCTCCCTCAGATAAAAAAATCCTTTATTCAATTGAATCAAAGTGATATTCATCATATCAGCACATGCTCCTGTGGCCAAGAAATACATATCTTTTATTAGCCTCTGGATTACAATGCGTTACACTGTGATGCACATTCACATTCAAAGGCTTTTATGTGTTTGGCAGTTTTGTGTGCGGATGTGTGTGTGTGTGTTGTGATCAGATATGCATCTGTGTGCTTTACAGTGTTGGCAGTAGCCGTGTGCAAAGAGCTCATCCAAGACACAGAAATGTGTGTGTGCGTGCGTGCGGACACAATATCACAATGTAATAGAGTTTAGATATAGCAGCTGTTAGATCAGACAAGAACGGATGTGTTTGTGTGAATGTTTGTGTGATGACGGTATAGAGATAAGAAGAGCGAAGGAGAGTAATGTAATTAAGTTGGGTCATCAAAGAAGATTCGTTTTTTTTTACTGTACATGTCCAGGTTGAATATTTATCCTCCTCCTGTGATTTTGTTTTCTAGGGTCCTGCTGGTGTCAAAGGAGATAAGGGAGAAAGAGTAAGTTCTTCTATTCATTCACTTCACACACTGGTTTTAGCAAATTAAGTTTAACAGCACCATTTTGCAAAGGAAACTCTGTTATTTTTTGCTAAAGTAAAACTCACACAATTATCCCCTAATGCTTCACGATCTTGTTTTGAAGAAACCAAATTACTCTCCATTTCACATAAAGTCTGAGACGCTTGTCTTTGGCAGAAAACATTCAGTTTATTTCTCCCCCTTTACTCCACGAGTCTCATTTAGAGGAAACCCAATCAAATATGTGTTCACAGTTCAAATTGGCAACAGAACAGAATTAGTATTTTGCTGACACAGCATCAGGGCCATCGCTGCAAAGGGCTTGAGAGAGATGCAACCTGCCAACTGGAATCAAACCTTCAGTACCTGTTTCCCCCCCATTTATCAACGTGTTAGTGACATTTTGGTTGGATGAGTCGATATGAAGGTCTGAAGGAAATTAACATGACAGAATTTATTTCATCAGTGTTTTGAATTCTGTGGCTAGGCCAAGATGTGAATGAAGCTGGTTAGAGTCATAAAGTCCAGTCCCAATGATTTATACAGTTAGGTCACATTTGGGTTTTCTCATTTGAGCATTATATCACTTATTATAACACAAGAGACATTAAAGATATTATAAATCTGTTTTCAAGGGATGTGTACTTTTCTTAATACAAGTCAACTGAAATGTGTTTGTAAAATCTGCAGAAAAGCCCTTTAATGGGGCTTCAAATAATGAACATTAACAAATTCAAATAAAAATAGGTGAAATATTTTTTGGGTCACCTTCAGTCTAGAATACTCAACAAATACTCAGCCAACACAGGAATTTACCCTGATATTTTTCTATATATATTTCAATTATGGTAATACAGATAATGCCCATTAAGAAATGTGGATTTTCTGCTATTCAATGGGAGTGTTACATTAAAAACATTTTTTTTTTCTTCCAATAATGACGCTTTGACTGTGCAGTTGAAAACATTCACACTCCTAATTCTAGCAACATTCTCATTGAGAGTAGAGTCAAAATCAACACTTATTCACTAATATTTTATACAATGCCATTTTGATTTCTATCTGTTGTGTATTTTACACATTCTTTCTACTTCATGTTATCGCCATCGTAAATATGAGGGCCTCCAGACTGTGGAGTCAAAGGAGTACACTTAGTACTCCATCCACTTAGCTAATCCATCATCCACTGTTACAAGCATGCATAACCCAGCAGTTGATCAAATAAAAACGTTTTATTAGGCAACTGTGTGGTTGTGTAATACCCGAGTGTAAGAGCTCTGCGTTTGCCCTTCAGGGAGATGTGCAGTCCCAAGCTGGTGTGCGTGCCATCGCACGGCAAGTGTGTGAGCAGCTCATCCAGAGTGAGTAATCCTTCAATTTTACACTTTTAACACAAACATGTTCAACTTCTTCTAACCTACTGTATACTGGCACTAACTACTCTTCTGTCCTTTCTTAAGGTTTCCTTTTAAACCTCAGTATTTAGAAATAGCAACCAATAAATAAAAGCTAAAACTTCAAAGGGCTTTTTCAATCCATTCGCTTCCTCCTCTACCTTTTGCAGGTCACTTGTCTCGCTATAACTCCATACTGAACCAGATACCTGCCCAGTCATCAGTGTCAGTCCGAACAGTACCGGGTCCGCCCGGAGAGCCGGGTAGGAGAGGCCTCCCCGGACCCCAAGGAGAGCAAGGCCCATCAGGCCGGCCGGGCTTCCCGGGTACCAGCGGCCAGAATGGACGACCAGGAGAGAGAGGTGAGAGAGGGGGAAGTTTATAACTGAAGAGTTATTTATAGAATGTACAACACATGTCCAGAGATAGATTCACACAGGAGAAATATACGCTGCTATTTTCATACATGCCTTATTTATTTTATTCTCTCAGTAATACACAGACTGAATATAGTCAATCATGATTCCTTTACTTTTTGAATTATGTCTAGACAATCTGACTTCATGCTCTTATTTATAGTAGCATCAGAAAGAGTGAAGAGCATTTACTAGAGTCCTTATGCTGCAATGAGAAGTGTGAAAGTCCAATCTGAAAACAGGACGTTCAAGAAAAAAAGGAGAAACAATATGTAGGTTATAAAAAAATACAGCACAGTTTAAATAAACATAGATCATATAAAGCCTTTATGGGGGTTACATTTGATTGATTGAGATTGATTTCATGTTTTACTGTCACTTTATGTGGTCAGAGCTTACAGAGAGCAACGTGAGACACAAGTGGACTTGATCCAGGAGGTTGTGGGTGATGGTTAGCACCTTAAAAGTGTAGGACAACAGGACGCCTAAGCTTTTAGGTAGCTTACAATAATCTTAAGGGGTCACTGGTTTGGAACTCTTTCTTCTTAGTAAAACAGAAAAGGCAGAGGTGAGGTCACCACAACTCTGTCGTCAACTCCTCATCTGTCTGTGAGGCCCGAGGCTCAATTTACATCTAACACAACACACCAAACTGTCAGCATTCACAGTGCACGTTTTGATAACTTGGGCGCCAGGTTGTACAGAAAGACTATATCTGGTTCTTTTTTCAAAAGTTTAAAAACCACCGCTATCATATTAAAGCAGATTAAGATGTGCCAAAAAGAAAAACAATGAATAAAGACATTTATTACAAAAAAATGATTTTCAACTTTACCTTTACAATGATTTTGCCCCAAAGTGGAATTTAAGACGTTTCTCAAACAGAAACCAGTCTTTAAATGATCTTCTGGCCATTCTTAAACTATTTAAACTGTAAGCTTACTTATTACATTTTCTATAAACAAAAACATAATAAAATCAAATTTCAAGTGGAAATCTTCCACATAATAATTGGTGTATGTTTCAACTTCAACTTTATTTGTCCTCGAAGGGTAATTGGTTTTGCGGCAAGACAGTAAAAGGACAGCAGAACAAGACATTAAAAAGACAAAGGACAAAAGTACATAGCTAACACGCAGGTTAGGTCAAAACAGTAGGTCAAGTAGCATTGTATCCTTTTTCTCTCTTTTGCTCTTTGTTATAAAAGATGGTCAGTGATTTGACTTTATAAACCTGTGCTGTTGTGATGAAGATTTGTTTTTTAGAAATGTGTCCACCCGGTGAGATCTGTTTGGTTGTTAAATAAACAAAGTACTGTATCTGAAGTGGTGCATCTTCTTGTCCAAAATGGTGCTTGGCTTTTAAAAAGACACTTCCAAAGGGAGCACGTTGTCTCAACAGCTCCAGCTAGAGCTTCATCCACCCTGAGTGTTTGCTACTTTTCTTGGCCTGGCTGCTGTCTGTCTGACTCACAGTGAGGTAGAGTGCAGGCCAAAAGACAGTAACTCCAGTATTGGTGAGGTCATTCTCTCGACCACGAGACCTCAGAGGAGTAACAGTCTTTATGAGGCTCCGTCTTCATCACGAAAACATGCACCAGTCACTGAAGAACCAAACATCCTGTGAGGCTGCACACACACACAGAGCTGTCAGGAAAATGTCCGACATGATTACGTCCTCCTCAGCGGTGCAGACGTTCTGATACTCCCAGATAACATTTATGATGCACAGCCACTGGTCCACCACAAACACACATACACACTCACACATGCACAGAGTTTATTTTATATTGTTTTACAGACTGAACTGAAACCAGAGCGCGCCAAAAAGTAAAAAAGATGTATGGCAGATTAAAGAAAATTAGACATGTTGAAGTCATAAAGGGATGATACCAGAAGTCAACAGATGTATTCTACATCACGCATTCGATGTTGTGTGATCATGTGTCAGCCATAAAGAGAGAATGATTGACACGACTGTCAGTGTAGAGAATACATTTCAATTTGAGGTCATGTTTTTTCCCTCTGCCTCACTATGCTAACTTCCTCTTTACTTATGCGTTTGATTAAATGATCATAAAGCAGCAGGGCAGAAAATCTGCAGTTCATCAAATAGACTGTGGTTCGCTCATATTAGAGCCTTTCGAAGAATATTCCATTATGTCATTTAAACAGCTGCAACGCTGGACAGAAGCTCTAGACAAACTCCGGGCTCATACGTTTTATTAGATGGATCATCCAGGCATAAATTATGCATCACATTTTTTATAAAAAGGGGGAAAAGAATTATTTGGATTATTCACCATCACAAGTTCAAATCCAGCATGCAAAATCCTGCTGACATCATACAGGAATATCTAGAGCTAAATGTGCTTGTGTAACTTCATGAAACGTTATAAACATAAATAAATGTGTGAGGTAGAATAAAAAACAAACTAAATCTGCTTGAACTGTGTGTCTTTTCAGGTCTGATGGGAGAGAAGGGGGAGAAGGGGAGTCCAGGTGTTGGGAGTCAGGGACCTCGAGGACCGCCTGGACCTCCAGGTAAGACACTGTCAACCATTAAAGCTGTCCCCAAGTGGATCGATCAGCTAAAATAACTGAACCCTGTCCCTTTGGTCCTAATGCCAGAATGCTAGAATATAAGGAGATGCGAGAAACACTTTTGGAATAAAACAGATCATTGTCATTCTGTTTCTGCCACTAAGCCTGAGCTAGCCTTAAAAAAGATTTTTTGTTTCTTTCCCTGCTAACAAAACCCAGAAATGTGTCAAATATTGAACCAAAAGGAAGGCCCAGAGACTTCTCTGTCTGAGAGAAGCAAGCAGATGTTTTGGACCATGAATACAATTCTCTGTATTGATTTTTCTCTGCTCTGCGTTGAGCTGTGGGGTTTGTGTTATGAAAATATGTCAGTGCTGGGATTTTTTGGTTTATGTTGCTGAGCGGTCAATACACACTCCGAACAAGCTCCCAAAACTGTTCTATGATCCAATAGCGGGGAAAAAAGACTGAAAACTTACAAATATTGAGAGAGAGAGAACATTACAGGAGAGAGCCTCTCTGCCCTCATCCGCTGTACTTTTGGAGAAATGTTTTTGGGAAAGTAATTTTAGTACTTGGCACATGGCACTGCCCTCAAAATATTGATTTCATATTTCTGCCGGCTGCTGAAGTGAGTCCTGTTGGAGCGCTTTCTCTCGTGTAAACAGAAAATAGAAGCCTCTGGCTAAATTTCAAATCTTGCGTGTGCCCTCAGGACATTTACCAACAACTCCCTCATCTGGAAATGACAATCATGTCACGTCTTCTGTATGTTGTCGCAGCAGCACAGAGAGGGATTTAGAACAGATAGTGTCAGTACAGTGACAGGAAGAGTCCTCAAAGGCATTTTTGCAGTTTATTTTCCTCTCTTTTTTTCCCGTTATCTGCTCTCATCAGGTGTCAAACCCCCAGAGTCTTGTTTGCCAAACGTTTATTGAGGACCAGCTTAGTGAACTCCCTCATTTTTTAACACATCCCCATCTACAGGCGTACCTGGTGAAGGACGGACAGGAAGTCAGGGTCCTCCTGGTCGGCCTGGTAACCCTGGAACACCCGGGCGGTCGGGTAATCCAGGCAGCACAGGACCAGCTGGCCCTGCAGGATACTGTGACCAGAACTCCTGTTTGGGGTACAACGTCGGAGGTAAACCTTTTTTTTAACAGCTTCTGTTAAAGCACTGATAACACTTTACACGGCGTAAACAGTTTAACTTAAAAGTTTTAAACTAATTGCAGTGGGCGTAAACAAACACACATGAGCATTGATTCACAATATGTATGCATATGTATATCAAAAGTAAAACAATGCAAAGTGCATTATATGATTTTGGTTAAAACGGCTCATTCAAAAATTGTGGTGTTTCATAAGATAAGGTCAGATTTGTGACAGCGAAATAATACAAAATCTGACCTGATATTTCAAAGTATAAAGAATCCTTGTTGCTCTTGAAATCGCTGTCTGCAGAACAGTAGAGCTTCACTTGTGTCAGAATAACTGAAACGTTTCACCGTCATTTTTTATCACATAACAGAAGGAAATGAAAAAAAAAAGGCATCAAAGGGGTTTGACTTAGTGTGAAGTATACACAGCTGTAGACGATTGTACAGTCTGTTAGGTTCAGGCGATAGAAACGAAAACATTTGGACTGGTATATCTTTTCAAAAGAAGTCAAAACACAAAAAGTCCAGACTTCACAAAACAGTCTGTTCTGTTTTTTTAAACCTTTTTTCTTTGCTGATTTAAACCTTAAGATTCTGAGCATTAAATCAGTGTTCTTATTTACTTATTGTTCAAAGAAACCACCAGTGTGTACATTTGTTTTAGTTACAATACCATTCAGTCTCACTCTGCCCAGTTTTCCATCTTGTAAACCATCTTTTGTGTTCAACACTGAAATATAGTGTTCACAGTGACAGCTTGCTCTGAGATAGTTATTGTTCTCATAAAGCTCTTAGAGAATTGGACAGTAATCTGACTTTTATGGTTGTTCCACCGTGAAGTTTATACATTCATGTCCACGCTGATGGATTAACAAGGTAACTGTGTCACAGACCAAAGCTATTTGTCTGCATTCAGTGTCAATAAAATATGCATACACTTGGCATTTTTTAATATCCACAATGGGGGTGCCTAGTGGTTATGTCCTGCGCCCGGTGTACATCGACCGTGGGTTTGAATCTGACCTCGGCCCTTTAATGTATGTCGTCCCAACAATCTCTTCTCACATTTCCTGTCTCTCTTCTCTCTTCTTCCTGTCCTGTCCAATAAAGGCAAAAAGGGCCCAAAAAGTATCTTTAAAAAAACACTTGTGAGGACCTTCAGGACTCAATTTGTCCAATGTCTCACCTAAGACGTCACACATTGATGAGGTGTTCAATTTTAAGGATTTTTGGGGCTTTTAATGCATTTATTTTAGAGATAGGACAGTGGATAGAGTCAGAAATCAGGGAGAGAGAGTGAGTGGGGATTGACATGCGAAAAGGAGCCACAGGTTGGAGTCGAACCCGGGCTGCCACTTGGAGGACTACAGCTTGTGTACACGGGGTGGAACACAAACCACTACGCTACCATGATGAGGCGTCTTAATGAAATATCATCCTTGAAAAGTGGCTGATGGTTGAGACATTACTTCATCCATAAGTAAATAGATATAACATGTGAATTTTCGAAGTTAAGGAATGCCAGTAGACATTTTTTTTTTTTTTTACTTTGGACAGAGCCAGTCTAGCTGTCTCAGTTTTTTTTATCAAGCGGCATCCTCGTGAATAATGAGGCTAAAGTGGAAGGGCAAAAAAGTTCCTCGAGTGTCCACTTGAGACTTGCTCCAAAAGACCTTAGAGTCCCATTAACACCCACGTAAGAAAAAGCATTTTGACCGCAGAAATAAGACATGTTTACTGCCTGGTCCAACAAACAAGATTGGTCTGAATAGTTCATGTCTTTAGGTTTGTTTAGAGCTAGAGACTGGTAGTTGTATGTTGGAAAGTAGGAAACATGTAAAACGATTAATCTGGCCTATCTTGGCCTAGTGTCTTCAAATAAGTGTCTTCAAACAAAATGTTCATTATCAGTTTGACTCACTGCGCATGTTTCTCTTGGTAATCTCTCTTCATAACCTCGTATTTCTGTGTTTAAAATCTTTATTTGCACTTTCTCTTGTTGAGAAAGAGAAATAGAGATCTGACACATTCCCCTCTTTTCAAAACACTTCATATGAAACTTGTCATCTTAATTCTTTGATCAGAGCTACTTTAATTGTAAGGAATGACAAAGGGTGCGAACACAAATGTCTACCTCAAATAACAACCCAACAGCTGGTGGTTCTGTCGGTGGATGTGAGCGGTTTAACTCGTGGTGTCGTTGGGTTTTCATCCTGATGTGAGGTAACATCTTGTCTTCAATTGTTTCTCCTCCTCCCTCTGTCTCGTCCTCTTTCTGACTGAAGTTCAACAGGACTATGGGAATGATTACTGAAGAGCATTCTCCAACCGTCCTCCTCCTCCTCCTCCTCCTCGTCCTGTGCTCACCTCCTTCCACCCCTCCACTCCACTAAACTGATAAAAAAATCCTTCAAGGCCTCCATATTTTTGAGAAATACTCCTAGTCTCTAATCACTGCAGCATCAAACTTTACATTTTGTTTTCTTAAAGATCTCCCGTTTCCAATTAACTCAACAAATACTACTTGTTCTGTAAAATTCTGTAAAAAACAACCAAACAGTCTGAAACGTTTTAGTCAGCCAAAAAAAAGTAATCAAGCAGCCTCCCTTAAGTGATGTAAGGCTAATTTGTGCCCTCATTTCAGTCTGTTGTAGTTTTTAGATACATTACTCAAACCTGATTTCCAGAATGTTCACACATGAAACTCCAGGATTCTTCGTTCAGAATACAAACTAAATTCTTTTCCACTCTCATTTAACTTCGCTGCACTGAATCGAATGCCAATCTGGGTGTTTTTCATCATTGGACAATCTCAGAGACAAAAAAAAGGATTAGCTTCCCATCCCACAAGACCAAACAAAACCCCTATATCACTGCTGTGATGATCACCACCACTGATCCCGTTTCCATCTGTCTAACGATTATTCGTGCTCACAGTGCTTCGCTGCAGCAGCCTCCGCTTCAAACTCAAATCTCCTCTAAAGCTAATCTCATCGCTCAAAGCCTGATGAATCAGCTAACTAGTGATGAATAGCTGTAATGCTGACTGGCTGCTCTCCTTGCTGAACAATTCCCTCTATCTTTAGGTCCTATACACTGGGCCAAATTTTCCTAAAATCCTAAAAGTTTTGTTATATTTATTCCCTGAAAAACAAGCAGATTTGGCCACTGTGGGATAGAAACCATTTTTCTTCAGTTTCACTAACCTGCTTCAACACTGTATGATCTTTTTTTACCTTGTCAAGTAACCAAACATGCCTCTACATCTATTCTACTTGTTTTGTTACCCATTTAAAAAGCATGCTGCCTCTTTATTGCTAAACAGTTAGCGATATAGTGATGCTATGATCCTAAGGAATTGGCCTGTTTGTGAGTCTGTGAGTGTAAAGAGGCCAAGTCCTGGCTGCAGCAGCCCCGGATTTAACGGCAGCCCCCTGCCTTTTGATGCATGTCTCCCCCACTCTTTTTCTTCCTTATAATTTATGTTTCTCCTCAGCTGTCTAATCAAATAAAGGCAACATGGCCTTAAAATAATCTTTAAAAAGCCTTAACTTTGCTACATGCTCTGCCTTGGTGGTGGTGGTTTAATGTTTGCGACAACGATCCACAAACCTTCACTCAAACTGACCCTAAGTGTTCCCACCACCCCAGTCCAACCCCTCCCTCATGGCGGCTACCAGTCCTACCCGCCTTACAACCAGCCCTACAACCAGCCGTACAACCCTGCTGCAGTGGCTTACAACAATGACCAGGGAGGTGAGGACGAGGAGGAGGAGGAGGAGGAGGAGGATGGAGAAGAGGAGCAAGACCCCTATTACCGAGGCTACCCTCCTCGGAACTACCCCCAACCACCCTCCCAACAGTCCCATGGTTACCGTTCTAGCCCCACCCACTCTGAGGACACGGAGCTGAGGTCGCCAGGCGTCTCCAGGAGGTTTCCCCGTGACGTCATCCTCATGGAGGAGAATGAAAAGTGAGGACTCTAGAGGAAGGATGGACTCACCTAAAGTGCTTCAGCATCACACGCTACAACACACACACACACACAAACAAGCTGATAATGACACATGGAAACAAATCAGACGCTGACGTGCACATACATATTGACCCCCCCCTTTCGCATTCTGAAACTGTGGTGAGATCCCCCCCCCCCCGCCCTCCCTATGTATTCAGTGGTTCCTTCCACCAGGTGCATAGATGTAAATACTCTGTGGACTCTTGTACGATATCTCTGTCAAAGGGGGGTCTGAGAAGTGCCTGATCTATGTTAGCATCGTCCGGTAAAGGTAAGATCTGTGTCCGCCCGTCTCAAAGCTGATTTTAGGACTGGAACTTTTTCTTTTTGTGAAGCTGCATGTCTCCTTTGAGCCAACCATCGAGTGTGTAACTGAACATGTGAATCTTGTTTCGGTTTTGTGTAACATTCGACTCAATTGTTTTTACATACCAAAATCATGATGATGAGCTGTTAACATTTGTACAGGCTGCTTTTTATAAAGATGAATCCCCCGCTTCCACGATGTTTTTATTTCACTTAATAATATTGAATTGTTTTTTCATGTTACTGTGTTGAGTTTGCTTCTTTTGACCAACTTCTTTTAAAGTTAAGCCCCCTCAACTGACTGTTTATTTTACCTCAACACTGGAACTCAATAAATAGTTTTTAGTCAAATTTGAATGTTTATCCAAAGAATCTGGCTGTCATCATATTTTGTCCTTTAATATTTCATTGTTTTAAAGACTGGACTGTTTGCTTACTCAGCCTTAAAAAGGACAAATCTGTGTTGTTTTTCTTGTTTGTTGTTCTTGTTGTGAAGCGGGGCCAGCTAACTGTGGCAGCCGTTTGCTTACTGGTTGACCCCTGACCTCTGGCTGGAATGAGTCCTGAATCCAATTATTATTCAAAACAGTCAGTTGCCCTCCAGTGAAACCCAGTAAGGACTGATCCACGAGTGTAAACTTGCCCCACTCCTGCGCTGCAGTCTGTAAAAACAAGCCACAGGGAAGAACTGCAAGTGAAGATGTGAGCTGGTCCTGGTTTATTTGAAATTCAAATTGTTGAGCCTGAACACTTAACAAGAAATGTGTCACCACAACGCCCCTTAGTACAATATGAACTTATTTATTTTACATTTTCTTTGCTTTTTACAACCAATAAATCTGTAATGAGACTATAAAGCTGAGTTTTAAGTCATTTGTTCGACTTGAATCAAACTGAAATCAGACTCATAGGAAAGCGCGACATGACAGGGAAAGGTTTTGTAAATAGTTTATTAGCCTATTTTACAGATCTCAAAAACACAATTGATTTACACTTGAACAAAGCAGTGGAAGATCCCCAGACATGGACTGCACAAAAAGCTCAAATTTTTGACCAACTTTAACTCTTTTTTTTAACTGAACCAAAGTGATTGCCGGAAGTTGTCAAAGCAACACGTTGATGTGAAGGTCTGTGGGTTCTAAAACAAAATCAATTTGAGTTGAGCCACATGAGTTCATCTCAGGCTGCCTCTGAATAATTCAGCTCTTCTGTCAGGGGTAACAAACCTGACAGGAATGTATGTTATGTTGAAGGTAGCTCAGATTTTGTGTTGCTTTGTGCTAACTAAGCAGTCAAGATCTGGTACCAGGGCTGTTGCCTGGATTTGCACACAATCTGACTCAGTTATTCTGTAAAGTTTCATCCAAACAGAAATTCAGACTCTCTTTCTATTTGATAGTCATTTAAAAGTGATCTGATGGTTCAAAATGATTCTTTAAGTGTCCCTGACATTAAAAAGAAAAACCTTTTGCGCCTTGGTCACGTTTGGCTGCCTTGATTTCATTTCATCTTGTAGTCTTCAGGTCTGTGGAGGAAACATGAGACATTACATTAGTATGGGGAGGCTTAAGAGTCTGGCGAAAAATAACTACATTTTTACATGGAAAGACATGGAGAGAAAGTGACAGATGAGCAACCAGAAAGATCCTATCTGTTTCCTTTTTTTTTCCTTCACAAACTGAGACCAGACACAGCATCCTCTGTTTGTGTTTTTCCCGCTTTAATTTGAGGCAGAGATTGCAGCAGACTGATTATATCAGGTCTGCTGTATTGGCTGTGATACAAAGTACAAAAATTTTATCAATTGTAATAGCTCTGCTATCAACTACAGCAGTATGTTTTTGTTGTTGATTTTCTGTCTGAGCAGTGTGTGTGTGTGTGTGTGTGTGTGTGTGTGTGTGTGTGTGTGAGACGGGAAGGGGAGGGGGGGCTATCCAATAATCCTTGCCTCTGCTCCAAGGTTTTCTGAGAGAATATTAACTATGTGTTTAATAAAGGCCAACAATTGAGTCGCCCTGGATGACCTCAGCCTGTCTTCCCCTCCCTACATATATATACACAAACATATTTGAACGTTAAAATGAATAAGATTAGGAGAGAATATTAACTAGCTTGAGGCCCATCTCTTAAATAAACCTGAATTATTTTGACCTTGGTGACCACACAACGACAGGCCTGAGCACACGCACTGATTGGCTGTGGATATTGGACCAGTAAACAATAAGAAGTGGCTCATTCATCACCATGTGAGCACACACTTTGACAGCAGCGTGGAACATAATAAAGACACGCTGTACGTGCCTGAACGAGGCACGCACAAACACACAGAAAGTGAATGAAAAAGAGCTGTTGGCTCTCAGCCCTCTCTGTATATTCAGTGTCAGAGTTTTTAATTATTTGTTCACATCCATCGTGTGTTCCATTTGAAATGTGTTTGAGGTACCAGATGGAGGGTTTACCACATCAGATTTATTGAAATGGTTTCATGAAGGTAGTGAATCAGGGTTCATTATGGGTTAATCATTTGCCCGCTGTGTAAACAACACTGTTCAAAAAAACTAAATTCACACTTAATCATTACAGTTAAACACCAAGTCAACTTTAAGGATACCAATCTGGCCATTTAGGAAGCATAAGTGATTGTGAATCAATTTCACCCGCTTTGCTGCAAATGAAAGTGACAACAGGTATCTTATTGAGACAAAAAATGAGACAATCCCCAAAAAATAGAATGGATTTAAATGTGGTGGTCACAGACAACTCCCCCTTCTCGACTGATTCTTCTCTAGTTTTGTGTTCTGCTAGTGTCATGGTCACTACTGGTAGCATGAGGCGGTGCCTGCAGTCCAATCAGGTTTCACAGGTAGTACAGCTCCTCCAGGAGGGCACATCCATACATGCTGTCCCAAGAAGGTTTTCTGTCTCTCAGCTCAGTTTCAAGAGCGTGGAGGATATACCAGAAGACCTGCAGATACATGAGGGCTGGACAGGGCTGTAGACGGGCATCAACCCAGCAGCAGACCGGTATCTGCTCATTTGTCCGAAGAGGAACAGGAGAAGTACTACAAAATGACCTCCAGCAGGATAATGGTGTAGCTGCCTCTGACCAAACAGTCAGAAACAGGCTCCATGAAGATGGAATGAGGATCCAGTGTCCTCTAGTGAGACCAGTACTCACAGCCCAGCATCATGCAGCTTGATTGGCTAAGGCCAGAGAACACCAGAATTGGCAGGTCAACCATTGGCGCCCCGTTCTCTTCACAGATGAGAGCACGTTCACACTGAGCATACGGCAGAGCCGTGAAAGAGTCTGGAGACGCTGTGGTGAATGCTACCCTGCCTGTAACATTATTCAACATGACCAGTTTGGCAGTGGGCCTGCAATGGTCTGGGGAGGCATATCCTTGGAGGGTCACAAAGACCTCCATGTCATAGCCAACGGTACCCTGACGAGCCGTTAGGTGAGATTGTCAGACCTTGCGCTGGTGCACTGGGACCTGGGTTCCTCTTGGTGCAGGACCATGCTCGGCTTCATGTGACCAGAGTGGGAAGGAAGTTTCTGGATGATGAATGCACTGATGCCATTGACTAGCCCTCCCATTCCCCTGATTTAATTGAGCACCTATGGGACGTTATGTATCAGTGCATTCAATGCAGACATGTATCGCCACAGACTGTCCAGGAGCTCACTGATGCCCTGATCCAGGTCTGGGAATAGGTCCCCCAGGACACCATCCACAGACTCATCAGGAGCATGCCTAGACATTATCAGGAGTTCATACAGGCACTCAGGGGCCATAGACCCTACTGAGTAACAACAAGATCCCCCATAGCATGTTTCATCCTGAATGGGACCCCCATTTTCAGAATGAACATTGTAATGTACGTAAGAAGGCCTGAAACTGACAAAAGACAATCTCAGAAGGGTTGTTAAGTCATAGACTTCCTTTTGCAAAACAGTGGAGTCGTCCCCTTCAGGTCATTAGAACAAAAGCATGTTTGTGACACTTCAGCATTGGCTTTACTCGAAAGACCCAGGGGTTATGTTCACATCTCATTTAGAGAATCATATAAAAGTGTCTGGATTCGGTTTAACTGTAGTTTTGTAAACTAAGCTTTCAACCATGTGAAAAATAAATGTTTACAAACTGAGGAGTCAAAGTGTAGTTAACGCAGGAAAGATTGTGTTTAGTTACTTTGTGATGCAAGATCACAAATAGTCATGATAAAGTTGTCAGTGGCTTTTGTTGTTGAGCTAAAGAGGAAGACCCCTGACCTAGATGAACAGAAGACCTGTTGGCTGGGTGGATTGATGGACACTGAGGGCAGTGCTGAGCAGATGGAAGAGAGAGTGGTCTCACTCAACCTGTCGGGCTGATGTTTACTACAGGTGAGGCCACGGAAATGCAACAGGACGACATTCTCATGAGGGCAAACCGCAGGTCACGATGTCAGTCTAATCTCCAGCCGGAAAATACTTTCCTCAAAAAGCCATGAATATGATTATGCCAAATAACAGATGCTCTCTCGCCGCCCACGGAGAAACCTTGAACGTCCCAAACAGCCAGAGAAAAATGGGAACAACTGACCTTCCACACACGAGTTTGTGACATTTCACTGTTTAAGTTCAAGTGTTTTGGGACTTTTCATAGAGTTTCGGTTACACAACTGCAGAGACAATCTGGGTTGCCTTTACATTATCTATGAAGCTTTTCAAGGGAAGTTCACAAGGCTGTAGCAAGACGCAGCAAACACCACAGAAAATGTTGTAACTTAAAATGTGAATTTGGAGTAAAACGGTTATAATAACTAGTGTTTATGCTAACTCTTCTATCTGAGCCCCACACAGCTGCTCTGTTCATCGTGCCACACACTGACTGATAACAGTTGGCTGACAGTCGTTCACACAACAACAACATGAGTTTGAAATGACAATGACAACGGTTACATTTCATTTTTTCTAACATGGGTCAGCAAAGTGTCAAAAACATCAAACTGGACTAAAAAAAAACAAAAACAGGCTTTTGGTAAGTGTTCAAACTGGACCTATTCATGCATAACCTGCTGTTTAGTTAGAGCATGAACACAACGCAACGTCTGTGGAAAATCATTACACTGCTCACTGCTGGCAAAGAAAGAGCTGCAATATGTGAGCATTTAATCCCACGTCCTCATTAACATAAAGATTTGACTCTGCTGGTTAAAGACCAGTGACACACCACCCACTGTGCCTCTCCTCTAAGAGTCAAGTCCTTTTTTTCTTTCCTCACCATCTGCTGTAGAGTTTCAGGCTGAATTCATTTCGACTATTAAATGCTTATAATAATATCACCTCCCGCTACTTTATGAAAAATACTAACAGAGGCAGGGTGTAAGAAATGGCAGAGTGAGACTGTATTCACGTCAACATCGCCCCCTTCTGGCTGATCTTCACAAACACAACCAAAAAGGACTGTGTTTGAGCATGTGTGTATTAGAGCCTCAAAATACAAAGCGCTTAGGAGATGATGCCCAGGCGGTGTTCTTTTTCAAAATGGTTGTCGGGTCATTTTAAAAAAGCCATTTAAAGGTAAATGAGCAGTTGAGCATTACTTAAACAGCATATTCAGTGAACCTAGAACTGCTTGACCATACGGGAGCTGCAATGGCTAAAAAAAACCTGTTGACACTTGAGGCACATCTCTGTAGGCAAAAAGTAAGAAGTGGAGCCACTGGGCCCAGTCTGCCCCGTAGTCCTCAAAATTCCTCAGCATGGATTTGAGGGCTTTGTCGAAACGTTCAACCAGTTCATCTGTTTACAGGTGGTAAGGACTTGTTTTTACTCCCCTAATCCCTGCAGCAGTTTGTAGATTTCCCTTAGGAAGTTAAGAGGTTAGTCATAAACTACTAAATGCACCTGCGCTACTCCTTTCCAGTGGTTTTTCTATAATGTTCAGAACAATGTGGGAGAAAAGGGGTGTCAATCACTGGCATGGTGACAAGTAGAGCCAGGTTTCCCTATGATCTCTCTGTGCACATAATTAAACCGTTTTCTTTTTGGCCAGTATGCTCTTCTCCGCTCTTTCGTTGATATTCTGATTCTATCCAACTACACTACTTTAAAGGCAAATATTCCTTAATATAGCGCCGTTTGACAGACTGTTATTTTTGCGCCACTTCAGCTTCTTTCTTTTTACGTCACGTCACAGGAGAGCCCCCACCCCCACTTCCGTCAGACTGGTTTAGTCTCCCGGCGTGAGGTGCATGTGTGAACAACCAGATCAGGAGGATTTCAGAGGCAGTCGTCATGAAATTATCTAGAAATCTTCAGGAGTGCGTACGTGAAAACAGCTTTTGTGTGATATATTCTTCCCAGCAGGCAGAAAAGCCTCCAAACTATGTTGTTGTCGATTCCTCTCGGCTTTCCAGTGATGGTGGTGAATTTTTAGAAGCCAGAAAGTGTTCAGTGTCAATGATGAGTTACTTGTTTAACTACAGAAGACTTTGTTCATTTTATGCAGGGACCTGTATAGAAAATGTGACGCTGCACACAAACACATACCAATACATGTGTTTGAACAGCAGATAGCAGCTCAGAGACAGTTTATGATTTTGGTAATTTGTAAAAAGGATTAAAAAAAAGTAATAAAAACTTTTATCTCCTGCCAGTATTCCCCCTCTAAATATATAAATATATATAAATGTGTCCATTGTGTGTATAGAAGGTAGTTTGTGTATGGGACTGTTTGTGTCTGTACATACGGTGTCCACAGCCTGGGGAAGGCGTCTATCTCCTCCTGGGTGTACTCGCTGAACTTCTTGGGGATTTCTCTGGGCTGAGGCAGCTCTTCTGTCAGGTTGGCAAGGATCTCGTCCGGCAGCTCCTATTTAGGAGTGAATAGAAGATTTGGGTATTAACAAAAAGGAAGCAGGATGAACTCAAAGAGAGAGGGAATAAAAATACAGGGGAGATCTTTCAAGGAAGGCACAGGTGACAAAAAAAGAAGGCAGGAAAATTAAACAGCAACTCAGATTTTCTTTTCAGAGATTGAAGGGAGTTTTAAGTCCATCACTCCAGTGTTGACTGTCTTTCTCTTTAGTGTTACACATGGGTGTGTGCCTCCAGATTCATTCACACAGCGAGCAGAAATGTCCGGCCAAAAGTTAAAATAGTTACAAATCTCCAAGCATCCCAAAATACTTTGTTTCAAAATGAAGACAAGGAGACTCACAAGGATCACACAGCCCCATCAGCTTTTAATCTGGGACCAATCAGTTAATCTTTTGTTATCTAGAGACACTTTACAAAAGAGCAGGTAAAGGACCTTACTCTTTGTTATTTAAACTGTACAGCATTAATTCTGCTGATGGATATTAAGTCAGAACCAAACTAAAAACAGATATCTGCACTGCAAAAAAAGACATTTCAAGAAAGTTAAAAAAAAAGGTTGGTTTGTAGTGAATTAGTCTTATCTTTCATCTCAAAAGAAAATATTCTTGTCAAGTATAAAAACATATATATCTGCCATTGGGGGCAAGAGATGTTTTCTGTTACAAGAAGGTCAGGCCTTATTTGAGTCTTTGTTTTTTAAATACTGAAATAAGATGTTTAATTGGAGTTGTCAGGTGATGGGGCTCATACTAAGTTTACACTTGTTTAGATTTGAATGTTTGCAGTGAAGCATGATGGTTTAATACAAACTGCTGAAAGTAAAAACTGCTGGTTGAGTCTTAATTTAAGAGGAACTCACTTCCTTTTTTATATGCTGTTTAAAGAAATCATGTCATACTGTACATTTTAATTAATCTTTGATTAACATAAACAGTATTAAAGTAATGTCGATAAAGAGACTGAAAAAAAAAATGTAATTAAGCCTAACCTGGTGACCTGTAATCGCTTGTAATGAGCACAACTTGCTTAAATTTGGATATTTTTGTCTCATGTTTAAAGATGTATGATCATCAACTTCTACAATTGGGTAAGGCATTTTAGCATTTTTTTTTGTAAAAAAATAATTTTACGATATTTAAGATGTGTTGCTTTTACTAGTAGGCCGGTTTTTGCAGTATGATATTTCCTCACCTCTTAACTGTGACACCCAACGCCTACTTTTTTACAATGTAAGTCAAAAGAACTTTATCTCTCCTTAAATCTCACGTTCCTTTTGTTAATAATAAAGTTACATTGAATGGATAAAAATTAGATCCTGATAATATCTGGGCACCATCATAGTCATAACTTTGCCTACAAGTACAGTGACGGTGGTAAAACTAAAACAATGAGCTTTAAGACAATAAATGGCTCAGGAGAGCTGGGGAAATCCCACGATGGAGTTATCCTAACAATCAACCCCTCCTTTACATGATGGATGATTAAAACTGGCTTTTTCTTTTCTGTATGTATCTGTAAAATGATATCAACGCAGTCTTCATAATGTGTCCTCTTTCTGACTGTCCTTCATTATTAGCCTGCATGATTCATGGACTGGCATAAGGTTGTCCGTCTAAAGACTCATTAGTCCAGGGAGGAAATAAGAAACTGGACTTACATCATCAGGAAAGATGTGTAATCTCTGCATCATGGTGCGTCGATGCAGATTCCGAGGCAGCATGCCATAAACGGCTAACTTCACAATCTGGTGAGGAGAAGCACATTGAAAAAGGTTACTGCACAAAAGTGAATCGGACTTGGAAAATATTACTGGACCAAGATCTTGGACAGATTTTTTTGGAAAGACATGTTGGACACAGAGTAATGCTGACAAATCAGTCATCTGTTCAATTCCATTCGTCCCTTGTTGCTCGCCAACCCTCCAAACCTAATTTTTACTAAACCACCATCAGGACACACGTCTGCGGCCGCCGGCTGGCCGAAAGCCTTCATCGACAAAGAGCCAACAGCAGAGTACACGTCTTTCAGAGGTTTGGAAAGTACAGTTTGGAAACCAGTTCATGTAATCACATGACTTTTTTATACTTGACAAGATAAAACATAAACAGTAGTTTTATTAGCGGAGTGTAAACAAAAAAGTCTAAAAACAGTTTGCCCTCATTTTAAATCATTTGGAACAGCCTTGTTGCCGTGTCAACCCACATCTAATCTTCTTTTGGTTCTTCTAGTAAGTCTGAATTGGAGAAATAGTCTAAAGTACCATGTTCCCCTTTTTTATAAATGACCAAACAAGCGTCATGATACCGTATGGTTATAATCTGTAGCAAAACGTAAAAGCTACAAAAACCAGAATGGCTCCAAAACTTTGAATTAATACTTCTTTCTTCTTCTATTGTTAGGGTTCATTTTCTGTGTGTTTTCTCCGTCAACATAAGGATAACCATCCCCAGCTCCTGCAGCAACATGTCCGATGAGTCCTTGGGCAAGAAGACACTTAACCCCAAGTTGCTCCCACTGCTTTGTCAGAGGCGTGTGAATGTGTATGAATGAATTGATCCTGATTGGACACTTTACTTTGCAGCCGATTCCAACAGTGTGTGAATGTGTAGGTGTGACCTGGGGTTGTAAAAGTGCTTTGAGTGGTCAGAAGACTAGAAAACACTACACAAGCTCAAGTCCATTTACCAATTAACCTGCTGCTATAACGTCACAATTTACCAGATTGGGATCAGATCAAGAACATCCATCCACATCGAAAAAACTGATACTGTTTTCTGTTTTTATTTTAGCATAACTCATGAAAACGACTACTTCCAGCTAGTAATCATTTCTGCAACATGCATGTCTCCCAGTCAATATTATTTTTTGTACAACAGTAGAGCTTAATGTTGAGAGAAACAGACTCATGAAAAGAGAGTAAGAGTAAGAGTAATACACACTGATGCTGTTCTTATCCTTAAGGGTTACACGTTATAATTCTTCATGTGACAAAGTGGTCAAGGTTTGTAAAACAGACGTGATATGACTTTTTTAACGTTTGCCAATGTAGGTCACATGAAGTTCTGAATGTGACCTACATGAGGGAGCTCATGTAGAAGAATGAAGTCTTCCTGAAACTATGAATATGTAACATGACTAACACTGCAGGAATTGTCCTTAAACTGAGCTCCACAACTGCACCATCACCGGCACAAATCCTCGGCTGGTTAATCCCTGCTCTTCACATTAGTATGCACAAACGGCACGTGTGAAGGAAGGGATAAATGTCATCACACCAACACTGCACTGCACATGGCTGACATCGAAATCAGACTAATCTCTAAGAATGTGGGTTAAATCATACGTTAAGTAGAATAAAAAAATCATGGTGTGAGGTATGTGGCAGTGACATTCCTGACATTTAGAAACATCATCTCTAAAAAAAATAATTAAAATAAAGGATAATACTGATAGACAACACTTACAGCTTTTGGGTCTTTTTGGTGCATCTGGGCGGCTGTGAGTTGTTTGAATCCACCTGGATAACTTTGGAAAGAAAGACAAGCTAAGCCAGGGCATTTCTATGCAAGAAAAACATTGGCCCTCTACCACAGTGTATCAATCAGGTGATAAGAAAGCCAATGACCCACATAACAAAGACAAAGACGTGAGGCATACAGAACCTTCATATGAGCCAGCATGAACTTACCCCGAGTGTGACGAGTAGACTTTCTGCTCCCATTTGTTTCCAGAGAAAGCTATGTGTCTTGTGTTGATTAGTACAACGTGGTCACCGATGTCACCTGTAAAGATGTTCCAGATGTTTGTGTTCAGGCTTATGGTTGGGATAAAATGGTTGAAATACTTGACAGTATTTGAAAACAATGACAGACAAGGTTCAGACACGGAGCTGGTCTGACAATGACACCAGCTGCTAGTGTTCTTCACTAACAGAGACTTATCCTCCAAATGTCAAAGAGTGTTGTGACAACACTTTATTATACGGGCAAAAAGGGAAGCAAATACTTTCATGTGATCCTCTAGTGCCATCTTGTGACGGAACAGACTTCCAGAGGAATCTGAGAATATTTAAACACAATTATTCAGTCTGGTGTTTAGAACAGAATAGATGTTTATTGCCATTTGCACAGGTACAGGGCAGTACAGGTACATTGGAATTCTTGTGCATTTCTCCCTGAGTCAGCTTCTACAAAAAAGTTAAAATTATAGACAAAATAGAATAGCATTGTAAGATAATTTTTAAAAAAAAGTACAAACAAATAAAACTAAATAAGTTGTAGTAACAGCTAAGTGAATTAAAATGAACTGTACAGAAGTTATACATAATACTTTTTAATTTTATGGTGATCAGTTGTATTTTTTTAAATCCCTGACATTATTATATTGTATTTAAATGTATTTCTTATCTTCTAGATTTTTAAATCTAACTTTATTTTTCCTTTTTTAGTGTTATTATTTTAAATGTTAACATTGTAATGTTTTGCTGCTTAAATCTATTATTTTATTTCTTTGTCTTTTATTTATTGTCTCTTATTACCATTCTCCTCCATCTTTTATTTTGTTGACTTCACACTGGTGTGTGTTTGTCTCTATATTCTAACAAACTACCTTTTGTCAATCACTTTTCCACTCTCCTGTAAAAAGCCCTTTGAACTGCAATAGAATTTGTCTGACAGGTTCTGGATGAATAAAGTTTAATGTGGTTGACTGTTACATTGCTACAGCATCAACTTTAAACTAAGGGGTGTTGTAGTTGTGGAAAAAGTAGTTTGTAATAGATTGGAGTCCCACTCACTCAGCGCATGGTAGATAGGCTTGTGTTTCCCCTGTAATCTAATAGAGCACATGGTTGCGATCTTTCCTGGCGGCTGCAACCTGGCATCAATCAGGAACCAGGAACGAGCGAAGGTCGCCCATTGCTGAAATTAAAAATGAGAAAAGATTGTTTTTAATCATAATGACTCATATTTGGGCATCACATGTTTAATAGTATGAGAAACACAGGAGGCAGAGGACACTTTACAGAAGATACTTAGACATGTCATTGATAGACACAAGAGATGATGCTGAACTCCATTAAGCAGCTTCAGGTTCAGGGATGAGGTATGTTGCCTCATTGTCACAGCAGGGTTGAGCAATTTCCAGAGTAATTCAATTCAAAAAACTTTATTTGTCACCGGGGGGCAATTCAAAGGCACACGGAGCAGTAAATTAACAACAGTGCAAGTAAACAAAACATTTTAACCTAAATATAAAGTGTCAATTTAAATACAACTTAAAGCTTAAACTTAACTTAAAAATACAAAATATAAAAAGAGTAGATATAAGTGGACAGTGATCGGACTAATAATAAATAAACTAGTAAAACATTGCCAAATGGACCATGATATTTATAGTTGAGAAAAGGCAAAACCAACAAGTTACTATTACTTGAATCACTCTTTAGGTCCAGAAGGGCAGACCATACAAATCAAGAACCGATCTATCCTGATATTTGTATTGGTAAATTAAGACAACACTAAATCTCAGCCAACAAACACAAATGATGTGATATTACCATTACCACTACTCTACTACACATATTTGAATTAAAGTAAATATTAAAACATAAGCGTTAATATATAATAAAATAAAGCCCAATATGGGATTTTCTATAGTTTACCCAAACACCGAGTAGAGGGGATCAGTGGTAGATTAGTTAGGTCTGAGATGATATGACTAATGGTAAAAGGGTTTAGCGTGTAAATTAAGATTATTTTCTTAAGAGTGTAGTGTGACTGCTCACTAGTGACATTAGTAATCAACCTTTAATGATACCCTGTGATCACACCTCCCACACCGCGGACACAGCTTGTTAGCTTCAGTTTAATAAAACATCACATATCATATTAGGATTAATGTAGAATAATACAATGTTAATACGTATGGTTATTACCTGGGCAGATCTAGAGAAACTCGACATGTTGATGACACTTAACAGCACATCCTCAAAACATTTGACCCCCAACCAACGTGAACAGCGGTCCGCCTGCTTAATTTAACCGGTTGAAACACAACATGTGATTTATTTTTCCTATGTTTCTTAGGACTTCATCTATCTATGTAAAGCGCATGTTACAAAGTCAGACCTCATTCTGTTACTACACTTGTGTTTAATATTTCAGCTTCCCAACAACAGCCTTTAAGCGAATTAAAACAATTTAAGTATTTTATATCTGAGCTAGAAATTATTAGTTTCTACCCGGTCATATTTTGACGTCGCATCTTAGTTACCACACTTCCGTCCTGCGAAGAACGCGGGGAAATTTGACAGCCATTGGAAATTGCAGCAAAGGAACTATTATCTTTATTTTTGTTTTTGCTGTTTAGAAGAGCAAGCTTTGTAGCAGCTTGTTTGTGGAGTGAAGAGGAAGGTTATTCATCAAAACATTGAAACTCAGAATGAGAAGTCTGGAGGAGGTTCAGGCCACTCTGCAGATCGCCAAGCTGAAAGAAGAGGATCTACAGAAAACTATTCAGTGTTTGTCTTTTGGAGAAAATGTCTCATCTGCAGACTACTGTCTGATGGAGCTGGACGATAACCTGTGCAAACACATAGAAGCTGGCCAAAGGTAACCTCACTGTTTAATGTAATCTCTGATCCTTCAGTAAATCTATTTATTGTTGATTTTAGGATTACAGATATTTAAACGTACAAAATAATCATAAAATATAATTTCCATGTTCACTAAAGCACAGTTTTAAATCTTTTTGATGCCTATTTAATTTGAAAACAGTCCAAAAAAATACGTATTAAATTGCAGTTTGAGAAAACAACCATAAACAATGATTTATAGCATAATAATAATAATAATAATTTATACTTTATTGATCCTGCGAGGGAAATTAGTTTTTACACTCTGTCTAGTTAACATGCTACACAAACATGCACAAACAGGATCCTATGGACATGCACTAATGGAGAGGTCTCAGGGTGAGGGGGCTGCCCACAGTGGGCGCTACTGAGCTGGTGGGGGGGTTCGGTGCCTTGCTCAAGGGCACCTCGGCAGTGCTCAGGAAGTGGACTGGCACCTCTCCAGCTACCAGGCCAATTTCCGGACTTGATCCGTGCCGGGACTTGAACCGATCCGATTCCCAACCCAACAGTCCCTACAGACTGAGCTGCTGTCGTACATTTCTGTGGGTGTATCTAATGGATAATTTCCAAAATGGTTTTTGTTTTGTTTTTCTTTCTGAAATAAGAGCCCAATATCTGCATCTCGATGAATCAAAGTGACCTGCAGTGTATGACAGGAAGTGATGTAAACATACTTCAGATTAAGTCCTGTATTAAATAAGAAAAATGTGTCTCTATGTCTAGTCTTGTGATTCGAGGGGACAAGGAGGAGCGTGCGGTTCTCTGTAGTGGTGACAAGACCTACGATTAAAAATAGCCGACACATCCAACCTGCTGCTGATGGTACCGGGCTGCAGATCACCAGACGAGCTGACCGACAGTCAGGAAAGCTCTCATGTGGTGCACAGACAGGTATTAAACTGACTCACACAAACAAACACAAACCATTTATGAATCAAACACACTGACAATATACTTCTTCTGTTGCAGATATGGGGATTTTGTAACAGCTACTGGGAACTGCGTAAACAACGTCCTAAGCTTAAGAAACTGAAGAAGCTTTTGATGGAGAATCCTTATGAGGGACCTGCTGTAGGGGGGCAGGAGGAGAATACAGAAAACAGGGTGAATACAGTTTACAGTTCATCTTGTAGAACTGTGAATATATACACGAAGAACATGAATTAAACAAATGATCGTGTTAGGTGAACAACTTCTTTAAAATGTGTCCTTTTTTAATGTTGTTTTTCTACTGGTACCAGTTAACCATGCAGGATCTGTTGGAGAGGATCCAGGCCAGTGAGGAAGAGATAAAGACCAACTTAGAGATAATCAATGCCTGCCAGATAGATGGTAAAATCTTTTTTTTTTATCATAACCAAATGTAAATGAAAAAGCGACTGTACATGTAATTCTCCCTTGAGGTTGAGGGAACAAACAGAAACCTTCCCGTTGTTTAGAGAGAGGGTTTGTTTCTCTGTCTTCCAGGTTACTGGCGTATGCTTGACTTTGACTACGAGATGAAGCTGCTGGGTCACATGACTCAGCTGGTGGATTCTGAGTCCTGGTCCTTCAACAAGTTCCTCTAGAAGACAGTCTAGAAGAGTTAAGCCCACTGGAGCCAAAGTAAGTTAACATCTGTGATCCTCACAGTCATGCAGCAGTAAAAGGAAAATGTGAGAATTAAAACTAAAGGGGGGGAAACAGATAGTACACCGCCAATGGGCCTCATACTGGCCATGTGATTTAGGGCTCTTGTAAAAGATGATGAGTCAGATTCTCTTTTATCTGTCACAGAGAGATGATCGAGCACTGTTTGAACTGCTACGGGAAACGTTACACTGAAAACGGTAAAGTGAAGCTATTTCTTGACTGAACTAATAACCCTTTTTAAACTGGTGGTGGAATCATGCACAATCTAAGAGTATAATGCACTTACTTTGCCATATCTTCACTTTGTCAATATAGACAAAGTTTTTTACACACTACATGAGGATAAAGTATGTCGGGCCACTGCACTGCTGTTGCTGCAGAACGCCGTCAAGTTCAACCTGAGGGAGTTTCAGGAAGTCTGGCAGCAGAGCGTCCCGGACGGCATGAGCACGAGACTGGAGCAGCTGAAGGTCAGTGTGTAGCTCTCTCACATTCTGCATGCTGAGGAGGAGAAGAGGGGAGCTGGAGTTCTTTAACGTCCATGTGTTTGGATACAGGTTTTCTACATGATTCTATTGAAGTCCTAAAATCTAAAAAGAGAAACACTTTGAATCCAACTTGAGAATTTCTTTAGCATTACAAAAAAAAAAAAAACCTGTCTATCAGAAAAACATTTTCCGTTCAATAATGCATCTTCAAACTGTCTCTGGCTCAATTCATTTAAGCTGTACGCATTGGAAAGGTCAAATAAGTAGACTCAACTGTATGTCAGTTGGCAAGCATAAAAGAGGAAGCTGTAAGATCATCAAGTGAATCCATTTTCTACAATTCTATAATTCATGAAGCAGACGCTTTTACACCAGAGAGTAAGTACAACACAAGCAAGGATCTAGAATTCAAACGAACAGCTTTAACTCCAGCTGTTCTTCAGAGTTCTAATCAGCATCAATATCGTCATTCTTACCATCAAAACCATCATCATCATCTCATCATCCTCATCAATATCATTAAGTGCGTAGGTGTTCATGAAAGAGTTGAGTCTTCAGCTTTTTCTTAAAGGTGCAAAGGGACTCTGCAGATCAAATGGAGTCTAGAGTCTTGTGAGTCTATATTTACAAAATCCAGCTTCATATGTTTGTGTTTTGAAGAAGCTCTCTCTCTTCTAATAACTAGAATTCCATTTCAGTATGTAGATGAAGTGCATCACACAAGTCATCAAACTCACCATGACGTATTAAAAGAGCAACTTGCTGTTGCTGTTTCTTTCTGCTCATTCTCTTGAGAAACTGGTTTCACTTTTTGATGGCTTTGTAAATCTTCCAGAGCGTTGCCTTGGTGGACCGTGTCTCGCATCCAGAGACCATCTGCCTGCTGCGGGTAGATGATCTCCCAGAGGACACGCTGGATCGCTTCAACCATCTCTTTACACTGAGAGAAAAATGGACAGAGGAGGATATCACCCCATACATACAGTAAGTTTCATCCATTCTTCATACATTAATAATATGCGTAGGAGCAGGAATTTGTCTTGTTGACCGTCATTTTTGAAGATTTCTGGATGGATTAAAATGTGAAATGCTTCCCTGCTATTCTCCACAACTCAGAGACCTGTGTGGTGAGAAACAAACAACCGGAGCCCTCCTGACCAAACATGCTCGATCTTCAATGCAAAACGGTGTAAAGGTGTTCAACTCCAGGCGGCCTGTGGCTACATGAACATACTGTTAAGTCATGTGAAGATTAAGGTGGTTATGTTCATTCCCAGAGCAACTTAGGCAAACATTAGAACTATTTAACCTCTTAATGTTCTTAAAAACACCTGATTCAATGTATATTGTTGCACTTCCACTCACTAGCTTGTTGAGTATTTGACAATAATTACTGATTTAAATTCAAATATGAAAAAAAAGTCATCACTATAAACCTGTCCTGATCTTTGCTATTATTGGTTTAATTCTGTCTGTTAAAGAATGCTTCAACATAAAATATGTTTTTGTAATATTGTTACATTGGTTGTTTCTCCTTTTTTGTATTTTTATTGACATTGTGGAAGAAAACATGTAGACCAAACAAAATCAAATCCATAACTCAACCTGAGGATAAACACACCTCACCCACTCACCCACTGTGGCAATCTTATACTTTTAACTAATGGCAAACTGATAGTTAGTTACTGATTTGTTCTACATTGGTTCACAAGAGAATGTGAAAAAAGGGGACAAGTCCGCACACTGTTCAGCTCCCAATGAGCAACTTTATTGAGGGCAATGTTTTGATCCAAACGATCTTCAGGCCATCCTGATCCTTTGGATCGAAACGTTTCCCTAAATACTGTAAAGTTACTTATTTGGATCTGAACAGTGTGCGGTCCTTTCCCCTTTTTTCTGCAGTTTATACCTTTTTTATCCTGCACGTGTATGCAGTTTGCTTGGACGTGTTCATAGAAAACAGTATTGGTGACAGCATTACTCAATTATTGAGTTTTTCAGTTATTTTCAATCAAACAGATATTTGCTTTACATTTATTATGATGTGCAGTGCATCTACTTATGGGCTAAAGGGGCACTAAAATGTCCAGAAAAAAGAATGTGAGTCTAAATTATTATAATTATTCCACAATTTCTGAAGAAGAAACCACAGACACAAAGTAGAATCAGTTTCTTTATTAAACACTTAATTGACTGTTTAATTCATCGGAGCATCAGAATGAGGTTTAGCTGCTTTTTCAAAAATAGACTGCGGTAAAAGCAAATATGTATCAACGACAAAACCTACATTCAACCTGTGATAGCAGAGGAAATTAAAACAGCTGCACCAGCTGAAAATACTGTGGAAACCCTATCTGGCCTCATGTGGTGAACATTAAGCAGATACTCCCTTTAGTGAAACATGTGGCTCTATCATGTAAGTACAAAAGTGAGAATATGAACAGCACATGGCGATAATGGTGTAATACACCCTCTCAGATCATTGCTAGAAACATGTGCTTTTTCATGGTAGTGTCTATAAAACAATGATTGTCAACATAACTAATGCATGATAACAGTTTAATGAGCACTTTCTAAACACCACGTTATAGCTAACAGAGCTGGAGAAAAGAACAAGACATTAAATCAACAACACGTGGGATTAGCAGCAAAATAAGATGTTAAGGCAAACACTTTCAGGCGTTTAGTTTGAACAGTCAGTGAACCCGTTTCAGCCGACCAAAAGTCAATAAATCATCTTTTGTACCATTTCCAAACTGCCTTCAGCCACATCACTTCTTTACAGTTACCAGAGAGAAAAAAAAGGACTGTAGTAGTAGAACAATATAACTGTTTCATGGCTCTATGGAAACATCCGAAATGTGGCAAAAAGTATGAAATATTGAAATATCTGGTTAAAGTTCAGATTGTATACAGGAAATACTGTAAGTTAGCTTTAGATCAAATGAAAAGTCAAAATGTCATGAATTTCCATCCCATTAATGATAGAACACAGATGAGAATCTCAAATATAATCTATAATAATCTCATAAACTTTGTTCTGTTATTTTAATAAGTAGGGATGCAGAAGGCATGTGAAACCAAAGACGTTTATAGGCTCCAATCTTTCTTTACCTGCAGGACTGAGAAATGTGAAAAATCATTTCGGAGGTAAACAGACTGGAAAAGCGCTTTGGATAAGCAGCTAAGGCTTTAGAAGCACATATTTACAGGAATCATGCATTTTACAACATCTAAGCACACTGAGAAACACCAAAGAGATGTCCACTGAATACTCACAGTAGACACTGAGAGGCATGTAACATAGTTTATTCTACTGTTTGGCAATAACGATTTCCTGAATATATGTTCACAATGAAAAGAAAAGCTTTTCTAAAGACAAGTTTTCTAGTCATGATTTTACGTTACGGCGAGACTAAGTACACATCCAATGAACCAGTCAGTGGGATTTTGTCTGAAACATACAAGGTAAACAAGAGTTTACTCACTAATCAACTATGAATACAGACACACACTTTGTGTTACTGTTGGAGCAGAACAAACATTATTAATTCATGCTCTTCTTATAACTGTATAATGTGATCCTATCATGCTAGTCTGTCTAATCACATGATGGCACAGTCTATAAACATACAGTTAAGTCTGATATTAATTCAGAGGCTACAAATCCATTCGTTTAAAACTAAAGCCTGCTTTAAAGATTGGTGTCAGTTATTCTTGAAAGATTATTTATAGAAAAACTACAGAGCCAAACAAACGCGCCTCCAGAGGCTCCACCCCCAAATGAGTAGATGTCCCACTTCTCAAGGCAACAACACTGATAACTGGGCTAGTCTCAGAATCTCACCACAACTGGTTTCTCAAATGTTGTAAAGATGTTAACACAGCCTGAACACCAACATTGCTTTATATATGAAATGTATTCTGACCATCTCCTCTTTGGCTTTCTCTATGACGTGTCTTCCTCAGAATGTGTGGTAAGCATGTTAGTATGGTCAAAATGTTCTGTCCCTGTTGTCCCTGTGTCTTTGCCCTGTCCTGAGCACAGGCATGTACGCCCCATTGTGTTGCGTGGCTCCTCTTGCTTCTTTGTTCTCATGTACAAGGCTGTACAAAAATAAATACATTTCAGATCATTAAGTGATACATAATTTTTTTTATCCTGTTTGAGTTGTGCCATATTTTACAATTGTGAAGGTTTTCAGATTATGTATTCATAGGAGGGTCCATGTTTTCAAAATGAAACATTATTTAATGTAAGTACTGGCTGATATCAAACAACAGCAAAATATTTACTACATTTTATTTGACCATTATTCGAATGAAGGTCACACGGTTGTCCACATATCGGGAGGGAACTCAGGGTCTAAATGCTGAATTTGACTAAATGTGTATCAAACTAGAAGAACTGACAGCGTCTTTAAGAGTCTTTTTTTTCCTACAAATCAAAGATGAATGTAGCTTTTCAGATGCCTCTCTTTTACTCTGGAGATGAGTTACATTTGATTTGCAATCATTACAGAGATTGTGTGCTTACATAGGCATATTCAAATTCTTCATTTTATTCAGAAAGAATAGGGCAGTATTGTCACCTAAGTTCTTCCTTTCATTAAAAACAAATGTTTCATGAAAATATTATTTTAACATCAAATAATACAGAAACCAATTCTCAATTCAAGGCCAACTTGGCTGTAAGTAAATACAATTTTCTAAATCTGGATGGGGTAATATAACTCCAATCTGTTCCAAGTCTTTTGACACGTATTTATCCTTAAAGGTTTTTTTTGTACTTTTTGGCACACAAAAAAAGGAACGTGTCTAAGATACATTTCCTGATAGCATTTAATGGCTGAACGGAAAGCATAACAGAGAAGATTAATTCTCTGATGTTTTATATAAAAAACTGGTTTTATGACACATTGTCATTGTAAAAGAAAACTGAAAGATACCAAAAAGTTCAGGGGTTATAAATTCTAAAAAAAAAAAAAAACAATATTCATAAAGTCTCCATGATGTTCTCAGTGCTGCCGTTGTTTAAGCTGGAAGTCTAATGACGCTCCTATCCCATAAACACTATTAGTCTCCAGTTTGTTTGTGCAAAAAGTCTTTAGTAACTTCTCTTTGTACATTGTGCCTGTTAATTTCACTTACAGCATATCACTGCACTTTTATCTGTCAACTAACTAAATCTTAAGAGCTATATATGAATCTACCTAGCAATTTATTTTTGAACACTTTTACACAGGGGTAGAATGTTATACTTTTTAACATGTTGGCTTCCAATGACAGAACAAACTATTCTGAAACTGTAGTTGTTTTCCTCCGTTCCTGACATTGTCTCTCCCAGTAGAGGGCAGTATTGAGCCTTCAGAAGCTTCAGTCTGAGCTTCTTTAAGTAACTGGGGGAGAGGTCACAGAAAATGTTAACATGGGATTTTCTTCCTCTTTGTTACACTTTCAGATTTGACTTGTGTGTCTCCTGGTTCTGATGTAAATGTGTCTCTCATCCTTTAGCGTCCGTTAAACACTCTTCATCTTTAGAATTGTGATAAAGTTCTGGCTCATAAATCAAAACAAAAACAGGGATTAAGGGTTCTTCTGTTCCAAACACAAGCTCTGGGGCCTTTTCATTGACTCTGAGACTGAGAGTTGTTTCTGGCACATTGGAGCAGTCTGGTCATCAGCTGAAGAGATGGCGGCTCTTGAACTTAAAAACAAAATCAAGTACAACCTTTTGTGTTTTGTCCACAGGTTGCATCAATGACTTCACTCAAATACCCACATTCTTAAGACACGCTCTGTCTTCCATCTTGTCCGAACAATGATTGAAGAGAGCGGCTTCCACATCGCTCTGTCACTGTGGTTATGAGGTCAAGTACTAAACCTTGTAGTCTCCAAAGTTATTACTGCACTACTTGTTAATGAGGGATTCTGTTGTTGCCCTCCTTAAACTTATGCCTCCTCCATCACCTCCATGACGATTGTCCGGGGTCCAGTTAGGATCAGGCTGCTGACAGCCCGGTAGTCCTGAGAGAGGACATTCAGCCCGTTCACTGACACCACAAACTGACACACCTGGGGAGAGAAAGACAGAGATGATTAATGCTCTGAATGTCAAAGCTTCAAGTTTGACATCTTGCTATCTTACTAAGAGTTTAAAAGGAGGATTGTTACCACAGTACGATAACTAGTTTGGACTCAGCAGACTGTTAGCTTCGCTTCGCTAGCACAAAGAGGACCAAACAACCAGTCTGGTTCTATTCAACGATAACGAACAAACAAAAGTGACATCATCACATACAACGCTCAAATATGAACACATCTTGTTTTCTTACGCCGTTTCATTCAAAACCCAAAATGTCAAAACAATATTTGACCATTTTTATAATGTTGCTTGAGGGAAAACGATTTAACCACACAACAAATCTAGGTATGAAAGAAAAACCGAGTAGACTGCACAAAGAGTTGGATCTAGTGGAGGTTATTCAGGACCCAGAGGCTCTTTTTAGCCTGAGGACCTCAAACATGTCAAAAGAATAATGATGTTGTTTTATGCAAATGCACATTTAAGTGTGTACCGTTTGGGATTTAAGACATAATGTGTCTTATGTATGTTTTTGTAAGCGACAAATTCCTTGAACTAACATGAGTCCTGTCAAAGTGCAGCCAACAAGCCAAGACATTACAAAGCTTCAACAGAAGAAGAAAACAAGCAAACAGTGATAGTGTTGCCTGACATGAACTACACCAGTTATGAGCGCCACACTTAAATCCCTCCTCTGTCACACCTGGACCCCGCCTCCCTTATCGCTGTTTCACCACTGCTCTAACGCTCTAATCTCTGCTAGAGATAAATCTGGTGGTAAGACTGGGTAGCCTTCTAGTTGCTGCTGCTGTTGCAACATGACGCTGCTGTGGTTTGGACTGGCTTTTTTGCAAGCTCTTATAGGCACGCACACACTCACACACATAATGCACACGTTCTATTCAGTGATTCCAAAAACATTGATGCATGTCAGAGAGAGCAATAACACATAATCATTGGGGTTTTTATATGACCTAAAAATCTTAATATTACAAATACTGGCAGGGGAAGCAAATCTTTTACAGATGTGTTTAAAAGGCCAGGGGAGCGGATATTAAAATCCAGTCTGCTCCCTTCAGAAAACTGACTTTAAAAAACGAAAAAGAATATGTATTCATGCAGACAGAGGTTACTCTTTATGGGATATTTCCTCCAGCAATCGCTATTAATTGTTTTCCCGGTCTTTTTTAAGTGATTCAGGAAAGGAGTGATCAAAATATGCAGAGGTTAAAAGTGGAAAAAGAGGATTAAGAGTGATAGAGGAAAGGGGAAAAAAAACCCAGACTGTTAATCCAAGGCTGCAGAGGAATTTCAGTCCCTCGCTGTAATCACATCAGAACCTCTGCAGCCTTTATCACAACTTGCAAAATCAAAAGCTCTCTAGAAACACTCGATTTCTCCACTTCTATTCAATTTTCTATCTCTCTCCTCTCTCCACTTTTACTTTCAACCTCCTCCTCCTCCTCTCCGAACACCTCCCCCTCTTTTCTCTCCCACTAACGCTTCTCTCCTTTCAGGCGGAGGGCTGGTTGTTAGTCCTGGCTGGGGCCCAGCTGGACTGAATGGCTCCTTGCATTCAGATGGTTAAAAATCACACTCACACAGAGAAAGCAAAAAGGTAGAAAGAGGCAAAGGAAATGGCGAGGAAGAATAAACAACATATGTTAACTTTGTTAAAAAACGACTAAGGTCTCGGGTATGGACGACCCGAGGCCATGTCAGGATTTATGTTCCTTGAGGAATCAGAGAGCCAGAGAAACAGTAACTCATAAATTTAAAACAATTTCAAGGTTTTTTAAACACTGAGTTTACAAATACTAAATGTTATAATCTGCCTTTTGGATCTCCAAAAAAGTGTAACTTCAATGCTCACACTGCAAAGACGAACCATCAAATCTCTATGTAGTTGCTTAGGTTTTTGCATCAGTAGAAAGTTGCAATAAAGTTGATTCAAACAAGAAGGCAGAGCCCTTAACAAGAGCTAAGCATCATAATTTGAGGCAAACCTACAATTAACTGCAACCAAGATGGAAAGATGGAAAATTACAGGGAAAATTAATCTAATAAGAAAGACGCAGCTTAATGGTTGCATCAGTTCCATCACAGTTACATTTTTAAATCACCGCACAGAAACAACTATAGATTAAAAACTCAAATTATGTCAGACTGTACTTTCAATGTTTCAGATATGCCTGAAACAATTTTTTTTTTTTTTTTTTGCAATAATCAGACTTCATGAGGACCCACAAAAAAAAATTGGATTCTGGCGCCCCTGCGAAGACAAATTGAAAGGATAAAAGGACATCTTCCCTATGGCAGTGGTTTCAAGCATTCAAAAATAGATCAATAGAAATAGCCAAACTTTATGAGCCAAACATTTCAGTTTCATTACTGGCTAAAAGAAAACTCATAGGAGCTTTAAAAAAAAAAAAAAAAGGTTAGGGCAACCAATTAGGAGTCCAAATCTAGATTAACCCACAGTATGTGCCTTGCTTATAGTTGAATTAAAACACCCTATATTTTGATTGTGTTTTAAACAGTGACAACAACAAGTAAAAAGGTTAGGTAGTGGTTTCAGGGAGAGTTACATCTGAGACTCCAGAATCCTGCATTTCTTGACCAGGAGCGGTGCTTTTCTGTAACCTGCTGGTTGCTGGGTAAACTGACTGTGCCCACAAGACTCAATGTGGATCTTCACCTCCTCCTTTTAAGAGAGAGTCAGAATAACAGATGATGCATCTACTGGTCCTAACTGTGCTTTTCCAATCAATATACTTAAGGGTCACAGAACCTGATGAAGGCCACAAGTCAAAACGCGTCGGTCTTGCTGGAGCATTTTGAGCATTTCAAGCCTTTCACTCTTCATGCACCTTGTTTGATAGTGACGTTCTGCCAGAAAATACCACTCTGCTTCTTCGGAAACAAACATTGTTGCACACACACACACACACACACACACACACACACACACACACACACACACACACACACACACACACACACACACACACACACACACACACACACACACACACACACACACACACACACACACACACACACACACACACACACACACACACACACACACACACACACACACACACACACACCATTAATGGTGTACAAACATATCCGACAGTGCAAGATGCATAAATGGACATGAAGTGAAACGTTTGAAGTGGAGTATTGGACAGTTACATAAGTGCTCACATCCATTATGGTTAGCACAATGTTGATGTATGTCTGTGGAAAAGGATACGAAACCACAGTGTATGAAATCAGGCGTGTGTGTGTAACGGGAAAGGAGAAGATGATGGTTTTTACTGCCTTCCCTCAAAGGTCAACGGGCGTATCTTTTTCTGTTGGACTATTGCCTGGGCCTCAGTGCCAACATTTCACCCCATGGTGATTTCCCCTCTGCTGCACTCTGTATTACTGATTTATTAGACATAAGTAAATGTTCACAAGTTAAGGGGGACAGATCTGACCTTCTAAGAACTGCAGGGGAGTGCATAAATTCTCAATAATACATTTGAAATACTGACGCTTACATTGCTGGATACAAGGAATTGAATCTACAGTGAAGACAGCGACTGTAAATAAAAAAGAAGCTGCTTGGTTCTATTTTGTCTAAAGGATGTCATGACAAGATATGCAGTAAAACTATTACAAAATGTTCCAACAGTGCACAAATAGGTCACACAATCAGAACACACTCAGGTCAATAAAGCCAAATCACACACATAAAAAGTCATAGGCACACCACTTTATGACCGCCTGTGAACCATAACATGTTTTTCCATGATGATAATATATGACATCTGACACTGACCAAAGCAGAAGGGATAATATTTCCACTGACTGTTTCCTCTTTTAGGGCTCACTCCTCCTACACAGCCTGAGTTTACATCCTGAAGTGTAAAATGGGGCAAAGATGAATTTTGCTGCCATAATGGAGAGATAAAAGAGTTGGGGGGGAGGAGGCTTGAAAGTAAAAAGTAAAACACAAAAAGTATACTTTTTAATGCAATTTTCCTCACTTCTGTCCAAATGTAAATAAAACTCACTATATGCGTAAATATGAGTGACAACTGAACATCGGCGACGGTTTGTTTATTATCAAAATCACACTTATAGTTCAAGAAGTGTTGAACGACCTAATATTTCATCCAAGCTTTTCTGCTCCTTTTTTCCTGCTCCTGCCGTGTCCTTGATTCAGTCCTCCGCTCTCCTCCCTCTCCTTGTTGTGGTTCAAGTCGCTCTACTCTGCATTCCCAGGATTCCTTGTTGCCACTCTGCTTACATACTTTCATGCCAGTTGTGGCAGCAGAGCCACCCGTATCCTGCTTTCATTCTTCTTCACGCTTATTTTCCTCCCCCACTCTTCCCCTGCTTTTTACATCTCTTCACTCCTGTCCTGACTCAAACTACTCATGAAGGGTGAGGATAAAGGAAGTGTTTATATACTTCTCTTTCAATAACTTCTGATCCTAACAGAGGAAATGCTCTTAAAATACAGACTTAACAGCCAACTCTCAGTAACGAAACTCTCTCTAAATGAACATGGCCGAGTGGACTTTTTATTTCTGTAAATATAAAATAATTGCAACCATTGACAGAAGATATACCTCAAAGAGGCCTCGAGACATATAGTAACTCTTTGCAAATGTTTTAAAAAGAAAATCTACAGTGCCTTCTGCTAATATTACATGTAACCCTTGATCTAAAATATATATATACCCTCCATATCACTCCAGTCTTTACCTTCATGCCAGCAGCAGCTGCAGGTCCACCTGGGTCCACAGCCTGGATGTGACAGGGTTTACTACCTCGCACCACGAAGCCCCAGCCCACAGCATCCCCCATAATCTGAGGAACAGAAGAAACACAGGTTGTTACAGTATCAGTTTTAAATGGTGCCCAGTTGTAGATTCATGGTTGTAACTCATTAGTGGACATTTTGGGTTGAATTCTCTTGAATTGTTACACCGATATGTATAAATACTTGAATCTGATTGGTCAATTACACATAGCAGCCGTCTGGTATCCCTCGTTCAGAGGTTAAAGGATCCAAGAACTGCAGGCTATGAATGAGAAATCTACAAAGCTGAAGATGGCACATAAGAAAACAGTGAATAGAAAGTGGAATGGGATACAGAGGTGTTTAATTACAGGTGAATGGAAATGAAAATGTTTACAGACTCAGATATGACAATACTGAAAACTCAGTCAGGGGCTACGCTGATTCATGGGATTTGTTCACGATGTCAGACTTCAGCATTAGCGTAATTGTTCAGATAAATGTTAGTAATGAAAGCTAGTTTTGCTCATTTTATGAAGGCCACAAATTAACCGTTGCTGTGGACACAACTCAAACTGTAGATTCCAACAAACTATTTGGGTAGCAGAAATAAACATACATATTTTTTAAATCAATGAATGGATTTAAATGATTGATTTCCTAAGTAAGAAGCCATGTAATAAGCGGAATAATGTATAGTGAGAGGGTTGTTATCGCAGAGGAACACCTTCAGGTGAGCAAGACCCCTCCACCTGAGCGGGGGTCCTGCTCACCCTGTCAGGGTTCAATTCCCTGATAAATACCTGCAAAAGTGCAGAATTATCATCCAATCTCTGCAACTATGTTTAAAGGTAAGTTTATTCTTAAAATCAATATGTATGTCTCTTTAATAGTTTATACAAATTATAGTTGTCTATTGAGCAGGATTGTTAAACGGCAGTGAAAAATTGGTGTGTGTGTGTGTGTGTTTGTGTGTGTGCATAAGCTTCCTACATACACACACATGACTTCAGTGTCCTGTCTAGTGTATCTATAAGTCTCTGTGTAAAACGGAATGTATAACTGTGATCATGTGTGACAACATCCACACTGAAGAGGTCTTTGTTACTGTTGAATTAGGTGTGTGTGTGTGTGTGTGTGTGTGTGTGTGTGTGTGTGTGTGTGTGTGTGTGTGTGTGTGTGTGTGTGTGTGTGTGTGTGTGTGTGTGTGACCTACAGTAAATGTCTTCTTTAGAAAAGGTCCTCCCGGTGTCTGCAGCTCCTCTGGACTCACTTGTCTTTTCAGAACTGTTGAGAGAAACAACACAACAAAAATATAACTTCTAGCTACTACAAATATTCCTCATGCATGTTCTCACACACACACACACACACACAAACAAACAAACACACACAAACAAACACACACACACACACACACACACACACACACACATAACCCTATTTATAAGTATGTATGTTCTGTTTGAGTGCAGAAAGTGCAGATGTCAGTCAAATGCTAACAGGGCCTGGAGGCTCTGTGCTTCCTAAAACAGTATAGCTATCGTCCCTTCCCCCACGCCAACTTCCCCTCAACATAACTCACTTTAACATAACTCACCAGAAACTGTTTCTTAAAAAAACAGATTTAAGTTTGAATATAAATTCATTACATCAGCAAAAAGAAGGAAAAAAAACAAACAAAACACAGAGTGCAGGGATGAAATGTGTTCAAAAACTCATAAATTACTTGTACACACATAATTCTTTCACATTAGCAGAACATATGGGGAAGAACCAAGTGGCAACTTCTTGAAAAATGAAGCCATTATGGATGGAAGTGCGTTAAACTACAGTTTCTGTGAGGGAGTAATGAGTTACGTTCTTCTGCAGCTGCTTTAAAGCAACAGCACGTGATGGCCATGAGCAATGATTTTACTACTGATGTCTGGTGGCTCATGGTTTGCACTTTTTAATTGACCTGAAAAAAAAAACATGAATATGAACATTTCTTATTTCTTATAGTGCTAACCGCTTTTTCTTATTTTACAGAAAGAAAACAATATCTCAAAGTAGAAAGGTTGTGGTTAAATGACTTGAACTTGATTTACTTCTTCCTCACAAACCTGAGAGTCATTGACAGCCTGTGTGTGTGTGTGTGTGTGTGTGTGTGTGTGTGTGTGTGTGTGTGTGTGTGTGTGTGTGTGTGTGTGTGTGTGTGTGTGTGTGTGTGTGTTCTTGCCAGATCACTAGCGGTCTGTGAATTACTTCTCTCTAATCTGATGAAAAGAGGGAGTCAAGTGAGAGAGGTCTTTTATCCGCTTGATCTGGACATTTCCATAATCTCTCCAGAGGGAAACCTCATCTGATCAGATTTACAAATGATCTGATTTTAATTCACTCTGCTGTTCCTGGTGATCAGAGACTGACATATCTATTATAATTAACTAAAAAAAGATTTTAACCAGCCACCGACTCCTCAGATTCTTCTGTCAACTTTTTCTTTCAATGTTTTTATTTTATGTTTTATTTTTGGACTCCTGTGACAAACAAAGTAACCAAGGTTAATGTGTTGGGAAAAGGACTTTATGTGTGTGAATGTGGATGTGTGTGCCTTCCTTTTCCTGTTCATTGTCTTTTGTGTATGTAAGGTCTCGGGTTGAGGGGGCTTCACTGGTACAAAGAGACTCTGTCAGGGACTCTGCTTGAATTAGACACATCAAAAGGGAAAGCTCACAGTAGTAAAGACACACAAAGTTAAACACACACAACAACATACACAAACACAACGCTTCATTCAAATCTACTCAGAAGTCTAAACATCTCCAAATAATGTAAAAGATAATCTCTCGCTTCGGGTGGCATACGTCTTGTGGGGGGAATTGTTGATATTTACCATAATAAATGAATAAATGGTATTCTATATCTTCCTATAGTTTGTTTGAGTTGGAATGAATGGTGGTGGGTTCAGTTGGGAATCCAGCAGCGCCGTAGAGAAGCTACATTACCACTAGACGTTTCGACTTCTACATTGAATCCGCAGCGGAGGTAAATCGGTGGGATTTTACATCGCATTACAACGCTACGAGAGCACAACACACACTATGTGCAAACACACAGTGGGAGCTACACATGCACCCACACATAGCGCTGTGTCATCCCACCAGCTCCATCATTATACCATTGCCGCTGTTTCGCCCCTGTTACCCCTTTGTTACTATCTCTGATGGCTGATGAGGGGCAGAATGACTGCTCCACCAGTACGCCTCATTTAACATTGTAGACAACACAGGGGTGAAAAATTACGCCTTGAACTGGCGGTATATAAGGGCTTTAGGATTCACCCAGGAGCCGTTAATCTGTCTGTACAGAAAATATCAATATTACTACATAATCTCCACTTCTACGGTATGTAATTCACAATGCATTATCACAATACAGAAAAAGGTTCCTTAAAAAAAATACAAATTTCATTATGTCCTGCTGACAAATGAAACTCTTCACAAACTAGACACTTTGTGTAGAATATATGTGCGAGTTAATGACAATTACCAGACTTGGGGTTGCACAGCACAGGTGGGCTGCTGCTGAGTGTAGGACTGCTGCTGTAATAACCGCTGCTGCCACAGCTGCTGCTCATGCTGCTTCGCCGAACCACCACCTTTATCTCTTTGGTGGGACTCACTGACAGCGAGAGAGAGACAGAGAGAGAGAGAGGGAGAGAGAGAGGCAGAGAGAGAGAGAGGGAGAGAGAGAGAGAGGGAGAGAGATAGAAACCAGGGGCATTAGTAAAAGACAGACAGGATAAAGAGAGAGAGCAGGGCAGGAAATCCATAAAGCAGGATACAGACTAACTAGATTGAAGTGACCGTTTATTAACTCAGCCTTTATTCCTGTACGTCCTTCAACGGCATGAAAAGAACTAACTCTAGCTGAGTACATGGAGCCATTTAAGCTGTTTCTATTCACTAAATTACGGTTTAATTTTCTTTTTTTAATTAAGAAACCAAAAGCATCAATATATTCCTTGCGATTAATAACAATGAGCAAATTCCTTTCAAAAGACTGGGCTATGGTTTTATTACTGTCCCAAAAAGCAATATTCATTTTAACTCTCTTTCTTATTACTTCCCGTTTTCCAGATATTATTTCTTATTTCAGTTGAGAAAGAAGATAAAATACTAACAAAGGCAATGTAAAGTTCTCACTGCCACATTTTAAAGAAATAATTCCATTGTTTGAATAATATAGAAGCTGAGCCAAAGCTAAACTAATCTCCAACGTTTGAGGCAAAGTCGACCTTACAATGTAAATGAACAAACGTGACTTTAATGTTTACTTTAATAAATCCACTGTGTTATCTTCACGGCAGACTGACCGAGGACACCACTTGTGTGTCTGTGTTTGTTTAAGTCCACAGAAGATAATGCAAAATGGGTTAACATGTTTTATTTTCTAAGAACATTTGATACCTGAGAGAAAGCTGGTGTTGCCTCCTTCTGAGTTCTGTTTGCGGAGACAGAACGGGCTGTCGTGGCTCTCGGGGATGCAGCGACTTCGCTCATGAAGAAGTTCGATCAGCCGCCGCCGCCGCCTGAAATTCATCCTGAACTGGAAGAGGAGCGGCCCGTCCACAAAATGATGCTTGTTGGTGACTGAAAGAGAAGAGACGTGGAAATACTCAATAAGCTAAATAAAAAAAGAGAGATAGAGACAAAAGACAACATAGAAAAGCATGAAAAGGTTTGTGAAACTTCATTGTTTGATACCTAACCCTTGTTATCCAGAAATCTATTTGTAAGGTTCAAGTAGGAAGGAGGCAGAGATGTAAAGCAGGAGGACATTTCATGATTGTCTTGTTGAATGTAATTGTATTCTATTTGTGAGTCAGTAATGAATGCCTCACAGGTACAGGAGTTTTTTAAATCATTGGCCAGTTTGGCGGAAAACTTGACTGATACATGTTTCTCACGTGAACTGAGCTTGCGCACTATAACACCATGTGATTCAGGGCTGTGCTGTTCATTTACACGACTCATCAGGCCCATTCATAAAGGTTCGGTCATCCTATTTCAAAGTAGGAGCTAATTATAATGACTGGTTTCATTTGACCAGACAGACTTGTACATGTATAGATGGATGCCAAAAAAGTGTAATTCTACTACGAGTCAATTCATTTTCCGCCATGAGAACAATAAGAAACACACTGGTTTTGTGGCAAGTTCACGTGTCCTTTTGTGGCTGCAAGGCGATTGTCAACCCAGCAAATCCTTTTATTCTGTTACAACAGAGGAAAACACATTATGGAGCCGCCCTTCAGTGAGTGTTCTCCTCTCCTCTTCACACTAATAGACTGACTAAACCTTTCCAAATCTGAAATGCATTTTTCTTAAACCCAGTATAAACTTGTTCAGAAGAAGGTATTTAAAAAAAAACATCATCAACGTGGTACCACAGTTAACAATGGTAAATAGACACAATGTGGATCCATCCAGACTGTTCCTCATTACGAGTGAATGTGTGAGCCTGACGTCAAGGATCACAGATTGTCAAATGTATCTTCTTCTCCATCCTGTTTCTAATGTGTGTTAATGTGTTCTAATGTTTCTCTAATGATGTTTAAAGTGCAGAGTCCACATGTCATCTATGAAATGTTAGTGCAGTTATTTCCATAGAGTGAATGACGCTATGAAGTCTCTATCAGACTCTGTATTACATGAACTGAAGTGAAGTGTCACTGATACAGCTGCACACAGTCTGAAGTCTAGTTCCACATGCCAGTGCCGATGCCATATGATCAACAACAACAAAAAAAAGCTTTAAGTCCATAATGTGCTTCTGCAGTAACACACTGCCTCATTTCATCAGACATGGGTGTGGGCAACAGACATCAGCGTCAAATCTAATTCCAAGCCACGTGACAGCCGGACAGTGAGTCCTTCAGGATCAATGTCCATTCTTTAACAAAATCACAAAGTCAACACACGTCACAGGAGAATACACAAAACCACAAAAACTATGTCTAGGTCAGCGTTCACTCCGTGTTGTAATGTCTCCATATTTTGAAAAATGTTTCAAGTATCAGCAGTTATAGATTATAGATTATGTCCTGTCAGCAAAGATCATTGAAGGATTCAAACAGCTGAAGCTAATCATGCCTTTAATTGGCTTGATTTAACGAGGGGGCTGTAACGTGTTTGATTTCGCTGCACACAAAGCAGGAGCAAATGAAAAATCTCTTTGGCTTTCGGTTCCTCTCAAAACTTCTCTCAAAATGTTTGAGAGAGTCATGCAGTATGTACAAATACAGAACAACTTCACAAGATATTATCCCAGACATACTACCTGTTTCCAGGCAACTCTTTTTGTATATACACTTGACGGATTTTCTAAAGATTACATTCTTTAAATTCTTTTTTTTTTTTTTTTTAAATCTGGATTAACTCAGATTGTCACACCTTTGTTATCATTTTTTTATTCTGAGATTTTTCTATTTTAACACTCAAATTATTTTGAGGAAGATGGAACAACAGATAGAACTGCTTACATGATGAACAATGCATAAATGATTATTCAGTATTACTAACTGTAATAATAAATGGATTCTTGTAATAGTTTTAAATCTGGTATTATAACTACAATTTGGAAAAGACTCAGGGAGATTCTTCTGGCAAACGTTTAAGGCTCGAACCAATCACATACAGAAAAGGGTGTACATATCACAATCGGAGAGATAAATGTAGCTGTAGTCTTTACAGCCAGAAGAACTCATTTACCTCCTGATAGCTGTGGCATTTTCCACGCGTTTAAAACTCAGTTACACTCTGTAACTCGACTCACAATTGGACACTTCATGGTCAGTTTCAAATATAGGACACACAGAAAACACACTAGAAAACCAGCCTGAGATTCCATGTGGGTCAGTTCACAGCGCCTGAGAGACTATGTTTGCTTTTTTAGGTTTATGCAGCTGAACTTGAGAGTTTCAAGGTTTCTATTTGTTTTTGTTGTTTTGTTTAAGACCTGAAGTCTTTTAAAAAGAATAGAAAGGGGTAACATTAATCCGGGCTCGATACATCTAAATGTATCTATGTTGCTGGAGTGGTCAGCTAAATCCTTCAGGTTTAGCTGCATATGACTTTGAAAGAGACGTTTTAAAAGGAGTCAAAAGGGTGTGTTCGTGTGTGCAGAGAGGGCTGTAATCCTGCTATAAATCAACAACAGTTATCAGATAGGAAGACCTTTCCCTTTATAACACTGTGTTATAAAGGGAAAGGTCAACAGATGGAGGAGGAGCAGCAACCGAGAACTATAAACTAGTGCCAAGAGGCTGTTATGGAGAAGTAGGGATCTTTTAAATTCAGCGGCCGAGAGTTTAACTGTCACTAAGATTAATTCACACAACATCAATCTGTCAATAAAATGACATCCAGTCAGGCTGCTCTGTAGAGGTGCTTTAAGCCCAATTGAGGAAATTGAGAGTTGCATGAACAAATGAACAGATTTGAATCTTTAACCACAATTTTGGGTTTACTGATTCAATGGTGCAGGTGTTGCATTGTTCCAATACCGTGCTGGATGATGCCATGTTCAAGAAGTCTTCTCCCCAGCTGCTCTGCCTCCTCTCTGGTGGATATCTCCCCCTCCTGCAGAAGCCAGTCGATGAACTCAGAGGCCACCAGGGTCCGCTCGAACACATCGCCCTCTTCTTCTCTGGTTTGTAATAGAGTGTTTTCTGTGTTCATCAACCTGTGGGCAGAAAACAGCAATGGATTGTTGAATTAGTTTATTTATAAGTCAAGAAAAAAAGACAATCCCAACATGCAAGATATGGTATTGGGTGTTGGTTATACAACATTCAACACACAGTAACAACAAAGAAAAAAGGCAGATTGAAGTTTGAGGTCTTGCTTTATGGGAAATTATATTCAGTTATTTTAATAAATGTAGTGTTTGCAATGCAGTAATTTTACTATGGCTGATGTATTAAATTGGTGTTGCATATATCACACACTGAAGTTAAAGAAAACTTTTCATTCCTAGAAAAAAATCCCAACAAGCCTAAATGATTTGACCTGACAGTAAAATTTTTCTTGAGATACTTGAGAGATTTGTTTAGTGCGCAGTAAAAGGGGTGTTTTATTATGAAACTTCAGTTTTCATAAGAGGGAACTTCCTTTTAAAAAAAAATCTTCCAAAACCGCTTGCTCCATTTCTTGGCTCTGTAATCTGTACAGACAAACACAAGTACTGCTCTGTGAATGTCTGCGGATGAGCACGATAGCCACAGAAGTAGAGGCCTGAGAATGTCAACTAAATTCATTTTATTCCAAGAGCCGCAGATTAGAGTGATGACATGGTAATTACACAGAGGGACACCCTGGAATTCTGCCTCTATGGCTATAATACTCAACTCAGATGGGTTTATACATTTGAATAAAAACCAGATGTAAGGATAAGATTTAATAAAGTTTCATTAAAAAAAACTATCGCAATGCAGTCTTAGTTTAACGTGTTTCTTATTAAGGATTACATGAAGCAGAGGTGGAGGTCTTTTCTGGATACACACACTCATAAACTCATAATCTTACAAAGCAGATCAAACAAGTACACACATGCACAGACTGAGCAGAACTACTGACTCTGCTCTCTCACACACACACACACACACACACACACGCACACACACATACGCACACACACACATACGCACACACACATACACACACACACATACGCACACACACACGTCACACACGTCACTCACGCCCAAACATTGTCACCTGAGTATTTAAACGATGTAGAACAGGCAGTGCTCGTGAGAAAGATTCAGATTTCAGTGATACACCTGGACATGTCCCAACATGTGCTAATAATAAACTGTATCATCGGGGAGTTTAGACACTAATCTTTCCACATCTTTGTTGGCTGTGTTATGCTGGCACGGATTAAGTTCCCACATTTTGAATTGGTAGCTATCAATCATTCACTAAACTGCCAATTTGACACACTTAATAACATAATACCACAGATAACTATTTAAACTTAATGGATATAATATTAGATTGAAGAGTTTTAGAATTGCTCAGAAAGATTTTAAGAACCAAAGTTACTGAATGTTGTCACATAAAGACAGAATATTTTCCCCACTAGACACATCCTATGGCGCAAACATTTTAGCTCCAGGCTAGGAAACAACCACTGACCTAATTAGACCGGTCTAAACTGGACACAGAGGTGTCTGACTATGTGCCAGTGAACAACGGATACTCTTTAAATCTCTGTTACGTTAACAGCAGACATGACTTTTCTTCCTATGAGTTAGTCAGTCAAGATATTATATACGAACATCTTATGAGGTTATAAGAACATGTGGAAATGGAATAACACTAATTTGGGATTTTTCTTTCAGTGAGAAAATCTATATCACTATTTCCTGTTTGCTAAGTATGAAGCTACAGCTAATATTAGTTAGCCTAGCTTAGCATACAGACTAAAAGCAGAATGCTTTGCCCTATCCAAATGGAAGAAAAATCAACCAAATGAATGACTTTTAGTGTGGCTGATTTCCTTGTGTCTCTGCAAAGCATAACACAATGGCATATTTGTAATTTTTAGTGATAAACCAAGCTAATCTGCTGCTGGCTCACGGTTGAGCTACGTATTAACCAGACAGAAGATATCAATCTTCTACTGTTAGCAAAAAACAAAACAAATAAGCTTACTTCCCAAAACATTGAACCAATGAAAATATGAATAAAAGCTGTGTTTTACAGGTAAAGCACACTGAGTGTAGCTGCATGAGTGGAGCGGGCATGGCTGGTCTCTCATGGAAAAGCCATCAGTATTGATTATAACTGTCAGTGCAGCCAATTTGACATCTTACGTGATGAAGAACATTTGTGTAAAAAACCTTCAGAGCCCGGGGAAAAAATCTTCTGCTTAAGGGATCTTAATGAGGATCCTAGTATGTGAAATGAAACTAAATGAAACCTTAATTAAGTGCAGTCTCTAAAACAGCAGCCAAACCACAAACAGCCTCGTGAGCAGCATCCCAAATCGGCGGGATTCAGTCACAATGACTCAACCACAGGAGAACATATTGTTGATGAACTTGATGACAGGCCGACATTTTATAACTCAAGTTTCGACCCTGGCTTGAGTAACAAATAGAGCTTAAACTGAAGTGCACTAAATGATCCGAGCTGCACACCCAGAACTGCCCACTGACTCATCAACACACCAAAGAAAAGACCACACCTGAAGTTGTCAAAATGTGATTCATTTGAAGCTTAACTAGGGCAATAGTTTGACCAATATTAACACTCAATGTCATAATAGAAATGTTGAAAGAACATTTTTCATCATGAAACCAGGCTGTGTACACAATGCAATATATAACAGTCCATGCAAACATGTTAAGTCAACATGTGAGCTGAAAGGGACTGATTCATAGTACTTTGTTTCAAATAGAGCCCAGTCGTAGAATAAGAGCATATTTAGTATTATGAGAATAAGAAACTGTATATACAGTATGAAAATCACAAGTTAAAGTGTGTGTGTGTGTGTGTGTGTGTGTGTGTGTGTGTGTGTGTGTGTTGGTGGGGGGGAGTGAACTGGAAATACAGTGCTGTTGCTCAGTCAGCATACCTAACTCAGCTGGAGTGGTGAGACACTGAGAAGTGTTTGTAGGACCACCAGGATTCTCCCTGCTCTCAGATGTACACTTGCATGAAGATGGAGCCCTAATAAAACCTCTCGAGACATACAACAACTTTTAAAATGAAAATGTGACTCAAATGGTTGGGACATGTGAGTTCGCTGTGGATTAAGCAAGAAACTGTATCACAACGAAAGCAGTGGTTTGAAAAAATAAGTTTTAAACTGTTTCAATCTGTGTTAACCAAAATGATCAAAGGGGACAGAAGACATGTGATTGATATATGTAATGAATGTGTGTGTGTGTGTGTGTGTGTGTGTGTGTGTGTGTGTGTGTGTGTGTGTGTGTGTGTGTGTGTGTGTGTGTGTGTGTGTGTGTGTATAAAATATGTCAAAAATATCAGACCTAGATTAGTTTCACCTGGAAGTTAACACGTAAGATGCTGAATACGTTATTTTCCTTACGTTTAAATATTTAACACAGAACCTAAGTAATTTCTAAATATAGCACATTTCTAGTGCTAAAGTGGAGAGAACCCAGATTTTTTCCTTTATATTACTTTGTCAAGTGAATCCACATTCCCACTGAGAGCCAGAAAAGAAAGCATTTTTAAAAAGAGGTTGGACTGGTTTGATCTTTAGGATAAGAGAGGAGAGGTTTCACATCATGCTTTTTAAGGTTAGTTTGAATGTGGGTTTGAATGAAATCCATCAGAAAATGTTCAAAGACAGCAAAACCCTATTTTAGAAATATCAACTGAAAAACACGCATTTCCATTTCATGACCTCATTTAGCTGCATTGAGGTCACTTCACAGCTAATGACTCATTATGTAAGACTGACTGTTACAGAAACAATACAGCATACGTAGACTGTAAACCCAACCTGGATCATTCATGACTTACATTGTTTCTGGTCAATTTTGTTTTGTTTGTGTAGCTCTAAATACCAGTTTCAGTCCGTAAAGCCTCTTTACAGCGAATTTATACAACAAATGAACGACAACATAAGACCTTCAGCAACGATTAGCAATACTTTAGGCAAATCCAGCCTTGTTTACACATGTCTTTGTTAATAATCTTTTAATGTTGGACTTCTTTCTGTATTATCCAAAAACATTCCTCCAGTCATCAGTGAGTCATGTGGAAATGTTAAGATTTACTCTCAAGCTTAGAGAGCAACTAATGTAATTAGCTGGCTAGCAGTTGTAACATGGCCTTAGCCGTACAGACACAGAGACATCTTTATGATGATGACAACAGAAACTAGTTGTACGTTTAGAAATAAAGGGTTGTATTGCTCTCTCCTAATTTGGCAGCACATACTGTATAAGTTGTATGTATGTGTCTGAAAGGAAGATCAAAATGTCTGGAATGCAGAAAAGTGGTCACCATAATGTCAAGTGTATGCAATTTGCAGGTTATCCTAAAACCACCAGCATGCAAAATCATGATCGTGGCCATTTAACGACAGTGGCGTTAGGACAGTAAGAGACAGAGTCTTAGTTGATGTAAACAGAGGTGTTTTCTAACCTTGAAAAGACCAAACTTTTTCCGCTTGACTTTTTCACATACTCAAGTACAAACTGTTGATGCATAAACATGAAATAAAGACATGTGTGCACATGACAAGTTGTGATAAATTGTGAAAACCAGATTTTACATAAATGTGTGTGAAAGTCAAAGAACAAGTGTAAGTGCTGCTGCTCAGGTTCCCTTTAGCGGCAAAGCCACAGCTGTCCCAGTGAGATCAACATCCTGGACTATCTCCTGTATGTTTGAATTTGGAAGGAGAGGAAGGCATTCATGCTCAAATAATCTGCCAGATGTCCCGGATTAATAAAGGCTTGACATGGTTTTTTTTCTTCAATTTAAAAGACTGGGGTTTTTTTTATATTTTACTGTTCTGTTTTAGAAGCATTGCTAAGTCATTTTCTACATGAAACACGTGCATATAAACTGTCCACATGAGTTTTAAAGTAATGTTTATGCTCTGACTAACCATCTGGTGCCGGGGAAATGTAGTATTAAAAACAGTTTGAGATGCCTTCCTTTGCTTTGTTTATCAGAGTTTGTGTTGATATGACAATTGACAGCATCAGAGATCCATGTGAGTGGAGCGCTGTTTATTTTCCAAAATAACTAGATGTGAGACTGGCTGCAGGAAAGGGACATACTGTGTGGTCATGGAGGTAGGAGTGGATATAGGTATGCTACATTCAAACAAAGTACTCTTCCAATGTTTTAACTCTAAACCTTTAAATCAACATTTGTCAACTGGCAATGAATGGACTAAAGAAGAACTAAAGAACTGTACAGTCAAACTAAAAGATACTAAAACAATAACACACAGCAAAAGAAAGCCTGTAGGCACCAAATGTCCATCACTCTGACCAAACTGCTAAAAAGAAAAAGGTAAAAAAATGAATGTGTTCATGTAAAAAACAATAGTAACAACAGCCATGGAAGCAGTTTATTCTGTACTTCAGAATTGACTCGCATACGATGTTCACAAATGCCAAGCAAAACGCCTGGTGATGTTAAGCAGAAATGTCATGTTCATCAATGATCATCTTAGTATAGCATGTTAGCATGCTAACACGAGCGAATTATCTCTCAACACAAAGCAAATTGAAGACAAGGTGAAATTCATTAGTTGTGCCTGAATTCAGGTAAACTAAATGAACAGTGACATATGTGAAGACTAACAAAGTTTTAGAATGAGGTGGACATAAATGTTTCTACCACATTTCATAGCATTACCTATTATCATTTTTGAAATACCTCCATTTCTAACCTAACTTGTGGTTTAACCTACAGTGACGTCTCCCAAACCATAAAGGTTAAGCTTTTCAAAACTATAGGCCTGCATATGGGCCATTAAAGAATTTCAGAGAGAAGCTTAGAGAATCTGTATTTATCTGATAAACAAAGCCCCTGATGATGACATGTAGTGAATGTTAAGGTCATGGGGTATCCTGAAACCCAGAGAAGCATCTGATTAATTTTAATTCAAGCAGGAGATATATGAAATATAGTTTAATATTTAAAATAAAAAATAAAAATAAAAACTTTAACAAATATTAATAATTATAATGTGTTGGGTGGAGGGATATGTCATCATAACAGTCCTGCAGAAAAAAGTCATAAGTGTGATAGTGGGGTAACTCCAGTCAACATTCAAGCAACCACACAGCAAGCTTGGTGTGTGTGTGTGTGTGTGTGTGTGTGTGTGTGTGTGTGTGTGTGTGTGTGTGTGTGTTTTGTGTGTGTGTGAATGTGTGTCCTACGCTGCAGTATAGAGATTACATAAACACATAGCTTTGAGAGCAGAGACGACAGATGTCTACTGTTGGACTATTTCTTCCTCTTATGCAACTGCTAGTGTTTGTGCATGTTTTGTGTGTGTGTGTGTGTGTGTGTGCGTGCGTGCGTTTCTAATGCCTCAGAAAACTGACATGAAAAAGAAATCAGCGTTTATAAAAGTGTCAATGTGTTTGTGTTAAGGGAGGCACAGAAACACACTTTCTTCATGTGACAAAGACGTGTCAGGATGTCTAAGAAGGGGAAGAAGAGTCAAGCTGCGTGTGTTTACATCCAACTAAACAATAGAGATGCCAGTGATTCATAACCACAAAGAGAAGTGGAGACACAGAGGAAGGCTTTTGGGTTACTATAGAAACAATTACTTTAATCACCCCTGGAAATACAGCATTATGGGTTAAAAGCTGGTGAAAAACAAAAACAGTCGTGTTTAGCCCGTCTCTAAACAAACGTTCTGAGTCATCACTGGTTAAAATCGATGCTTCTAATAACTTCTCCTGCATGCTTTTTTCGTGGAAAATAAATGAAAAGGTGGAGGCTTTTCTGGCTTACTCAATCAGTATGCCTCCCACTAAGAGAAACTGAGAGAAAGAAGGGAAATAAACTTGTGGCATCGTGTGCTACTGTCTTCCAAATGGCCACCATTGAAGAAGAAAGTCTCAATCCTTGAAAACAGATCGTCTTTTTTTTTTATCAGTTGAACACAGTGAAAGCCAGCTAGGGTAGTTATGTAAAGGGATACTTCTCTGGAACTGTGGAGTGCACCAGATAAAGAAACTCACTCTTCTGCTGCCGGATCAAAGTCATGATGCTTTTTAAGTAAGTTACAATGTCAACTGGATGAAGCATGCAAGCTACGTGTCAAATGCTTAACATTTTTGCATCACATCAGATAAGTCTATGAACTATTTAAAGAAAATATTCTAGAAAATAAACAATCTTGTGGAGAATAACACTTTCAACTGTAGTATGCAGCAGGTTAGATGAAGTTTGGCTCCAAATGGGGAAAATTTAATTTTCATACTCTAGTTCCATAGTTTTTGTTTCTTAAATAAACAAATAAGACATAGCTTCTTAGTGAATGAATTTAAGTATTGCTGATAGGCAGCCATATTTCCTTTAGGCTGAGCTAAGCTACACATTACCCCTGTTTGTAGTCTTTATGCTAAGCCTAGCTAACCAGCTCCTAGCATTACCCTTTAGGCTTGCTTATGGATATAACACTGGTACCAATCTTTTCATCATTTAGCCCTTGGCAAAACAAATATGGTGAACTTTTCCTTTAAGGCTTCCCACCAAAAGGGTGGAAGAGAAAATCAATTAAAAACGCCGAAGGATAAAATACCTGTGGAGTTTGTTTCTATCACACAGCTGTATAAGCAGACATTTCCTTGGGTCCCGATGATAGCTCCATATAAAGAACAGGTAGGAGTGGTTGTGATTGTGTTTTAAGTAGTGTGTGTGTGTGTGTGTGTGTGTGTGTGTGTGTGTGTGTGTGGGGGGGGGGTTTACGTGTGTGGCTTTGTTTCTTACTTTTCATAGATCCTCTGCCCCCTCATAAAGACTTTGGCTTCACTGTCCAACGGGAACGTGCCGTCATCTTTCCGGAAACGGTAGAACAGCTTCAAGTCTTTAAACTCCCGGTGCTCATCACACACTGAAAACACACACAAGAAAATGTTCAGCTCCTACAGGAGTTGCCAATAGGGAAGCCAAAAAATTGATTGTCGATGACAAAGAGCCAGAACAGGAAGAGATTCTACGAAGTGAGTGACAAAGCCCAGTGTGTTTAATACAGAGAAACCCTGTTACAAAGACATGCAGCCTCTTCATTTCTTCTTAGACTGAATAATTTTATTTATTATTTATAAAGACGTGCAAAGAATTCAATCACAAAACCCAAAACTGTTTTTTTGCACACTGTTTCATGTGCAAAGCTTTTTTAATTCTGAAAAATAGCTTGTTTATTTAACAGCTAAATAAATTTTTATGAATCCAATCAGCTACAGAGGCCTCTCTAGATAATGACCCCTACATGTGGATGTAATTGATAACACAAGCAAAAGTTTCACACACTGGGATCATGCGGGAATTTGATTATGTTTGTGTAAAGCAGTCACTAAAATCCAAATACCAATAAATCCTTCTTCCCCAGCTGGGGTGGGTTAATAATAAATTGCCTTTGTATAAACTCTAACTGAAGAGAGTGAGAGGAGCAGGCCTACATTTCCGTCTATTTTTTCAGTGTTTGGTCAAATGAGAAACAGGTAGTGAGACGCTACACTGAGGCCAAATTGGCCAAGAAGCAAGAAGAATCATCTATTAACAAATGGAGATTGTTCCCAGAAAGTGACAAAAGTTAAAGGGGGGGGGGGTGAGGTTTGGTTATAGATCACTGGATAAAGCATGCCCAAGACTAACCCAACACACGGACACAATTGAGGTTTACCGTGGTGAATGATGCTCTGGTCCAAAAGTTTCTGCATGATCTTGATGGCTGTGTCTCGGTCTGATGCTTCCTTGTGTTCTATCAGCCAATCAATGAGCTCCTTGGCCACAAAGCAGTTTGGGTAAGTTCGTAGGTGATGTCGCCGATCCTTGATCACCTTCGCTTCGTGGAGCCGCAGCCTGGAGGACAACGAACAAGCAATAATATTCATACACAAATCTGATAGACAGTTCATGTTCTATAAATTAACAGCAGATTAAAAATCTAAAAGTAGAAACCATTCATCCTGGCAGAGATCAAGTGGATTGACAACATAAAAAAGGCTTGGAGGTAAACTATGCAATCCTGTCATTCCCTGTTTATATGATCTACTTTAACTGAATATTACACTTTATATAATCTAAGAGGTTTAACGTCATCAATTTGTAGAAAACAAATTAAAGTAAAGAAAAATACAGATTATTCACAGTTTAGTATTTATGATACCAATACCAGTATCTGAAATGCCTTGAACACAGCCTTAAATGGGGCTAATGGGATCAGCTAGTATTCAAGTAAATTCACCAACTGATTCCACAAGTTTTAGCCTCAAAAATACTTGACTCTTCTCTTTCTTGTCCAACACGGTATCCTACGTTGCTGTGGTTTGTATAATGGGCTTCATATGGCTACAACCGTCCAAGAGGGACAAATAAGTACTGATGCAAAAAATGAAATTGTAGAGCTAACAAACAACAGCAGTACAGTACTAACGAAGAGTAGTGTTAGCTAAAGCTAGCAAGTTGTCAACGATCACATATTTAAAGCTATATATTTTTTTATCAAAGTCAAGATTAGACAAATAGTTAAAACACAAAATAATTGGAAACACTTTTAAATTCAAAGTTTCTCCAACGCTCTTCTGTGGACACAGGACATCAGGCAGCTGTTGCTAACAAATAAGCCTGTTTTTATTTTCTCAGCTTTTTTTAGGGTAAGGATTCCAATGAGCAAGAACATACAACAATGTACAACCAACATTCTCAACTTAAAAGTATATATTTTTAAAGCACACTGGTATCAAAATGGTACTCGGTATCAGGGAATATTCAAGTCTAGGTATCAGAATCCATATGAGGAAGATAAGATCAGAACATCTTATAGACCTCAACCTGTGAATTGTGAAACAGCCTACCACAGCCTTAACCAAGCTTCCTGCAGCTAGCTAGTTCCACTTCATGCTGAGTCTGTTTGCAGCTGGCTAGTGTTACGCAGGATGAGATATGACAGCCAAGTCTGTCCCAAAAGTACCCACACACTGTTCTGCCAAGACTCAAACAGGTTCCAGACTTCACTTTAAACCAGCTCCGTTACACCCTCTCCTCTCCTCTAACTGAGAGCCTACACAGACATCCTCTCCTCTTCTTTTGCCCAGCTTCAGAAGATTGTCTCTAATCATCTTATAAATCATCTTTGTAAAAAAAAAAAAAAGAACTGGAAGCAAACTCCTCCCTCTTGTTTATCCTATATAAAACCCTAGTTGCTGCTGTAGGTGTTTTTAATCCATTGACTACTGTCTGTAAAAGCATTTCTTAAAATTAAGGGTGCTATTACAATACCAAGGGTCTGAATGAGTCTCCCAGTATGTCTGTAATGATGCTGAGGCCCATGTTGAAACATTCATCATGCAACAAACGGTCTATTCATAACTATGAACTGGTCACCGGACTCACTACAGCAGCTGCATGTGTCACTGTGCCATAGTATCCATCCTTCTGTCCATTATATAGTTCTGTTCCTGAAACAAATCTGCTTAGAGACAAGAGCAGTGGACATGATGGGTCACATATGTGTGATAAGATATCTGAAAACAGTCTGTTATCACAACCAGGAACTATATCACTCTTGTTCCATGAGCTTGACTCGTGATACTGTGATCAAACAAAGGTGTTTTACGTACACGCCTTGCTTTTATTATACTAGCAGTTTCATATGTCTACTTTTATACCTCTATTTACAAAATGACTCTGACTTTCTCGCTCCCTCTGAACTATCAGTTAAGACCAAAGGACAAAGCTAAAGCACGAAGCTAATGTAAACACTGAGGGGGGAACATCATTCATTAATCTGGCCATTGTGTGTTCATGCTGTAATGTGTGACAAGACTGGTGGACTACAAACATGGATGATGAAACTATGATTGATTAAAGCTTAATGTTGACAAGGATTTTATATATTGCAATACATTGTCATACTTTGAGAGGTGTGATATAATTTGTAGTTTTTTTTAAATGTTATTATGGGAAACTGTTTTACTGAACTGTATTGAAAAACACACCACCAATTGCATACAATTTGACTTAAGTTATACAATCAGAACAGTGGAATCATTTTATCAGGTCCCTTTAACACACATCTAAAACTAACTTACGAATATTTTTCGACAAAAAAAGCCTCTCCTGTTTATGGGTACAGTACCACAAAACATATCACTGTACCCCAGAGTATTGGCATCAGAAAATCACAAAAGTCAATGGGCTTCATCCTCTGGGGACTATGAATGTATACACAAAATGTCATGTAATGTAATCAGGCAACTGACTCAGAACCACATTGTCATCCCAGAGATGTCAGAAAAACCCTAAGGACAACTTGTTGAGTAAAAAGAAAGACATTTAGAGAAAGAAATCGAGCATTGTGTGTCACAACCTTGAACCTTTCCCTCAGTTGAATCTCAGAGGCACATGACTCTGGTACAGCTAACCCCAAGAACCCTCCGTTCACTGACACCACCCTCAGTGACACCTGGCAGCCTCAGTATTCAGCTGTGCCAGGAGCACAAATAGTTAACAATGACAAACAGGGAAACTCACACTGGTGCTAAGGAGGAGTACACTTAAGAGACACTAACTGTAAATCTCTGGGAATGATGACATTAACTTTTTTATGATTCTTCAGAACACAACAATGAACAGTGAGTACTTCCACAAAATCAGCAAAAGCTCAATTTAGCCCACCCAGCTGTAAACACTGCTCAGAGGCATATTTTGCTTGTAGTTCAGAGGGGGGCTGAAATTCCAGGCATTGGTGCCATGCTTTAACCCACTGAGTCTCTATTCATTGCTGGTAGATTTAGCCATACAGCAAACAGCACCAGGGTTACCGTGTGTTTCTTTACAGGTCAAAGGGTGCAGCATGTCAACAACACTGACAGAGTAAGAACTCTCACTAACAGGATGGATGGGTAGGGCATGGTAATGACACAGGCTCAGTGGGTTGATCATTCCCTGTGCAGCTCAGCAAAAATGACTCATGCATTCAGTCTTAAAAGGCAAAACAGGATCCTGAAAGATAAACAGATGTCTCGTGCCAAAAGCATGCACGTTTATAGAGGTGGAAATAAGGTGTGTTCATGGGGAAGGTCGTCCATATGTTGCTGCCTTTGTTTGGCTGTGCATGCTGCAGTGGGGCTGAGACTGCCTGTAGTGCCACTTTGCAGTGAGGGAGGGTATCATGCATGATTATTAACTTGCTGCCACACATGCTCACAACAACACCCTCTGATCTCAGTGAGTGTGTCATGTCCTGTCATGTCCAAAAACCAACTAAACAAGGAGTATACATATTATTAATACAGCTTTATCGGGAGGTCTTCATGAATCACTTAATGTTTAGGGTGCACTCTGCAGATGATGGTCACAAATATAACCGCCTGTGTATCCAGGTTCAGGAGGGGTTACTCGCCGACATACCTGAGCTGTTCCCCGGTTACGAGCACCTCGGCCAGCCGCTCCAGCTCCGCAGCCTTCTTCTGCATGGTGTACCCGATCCCGTCCATCTCCCTGCTAACACGAGGGGGAACACACACACGCACAACACACCGGGGAGGGTTTTGTTGTCAAACAGCCTCACACAATGACATCATTCTTGCACTGGGGAAATGCACTAGTCTTGCATTTTTTTTTCTCAGAGTTTAAATGCTGTGCAGCAAAGTGTGCACCATTTGCTTTGTAGCTTGACTAGTACACAGAAAGAGGAAGGAATGTATTGAAAAACAAAGACATGCAGGCATCCACAAGGTGCGGATTTCAGAGAATAAACAATGCACTGACACCTCCTTTATTTTATGCTTACCCTTCAAGCACCATGGAGAACGAAAAAAAAGTTCAGCAATTATTCCTTTGGTGAATAAAAAAAAGAGGATTAGCCTATACCATCCTAGGAAACCTGCAACACTGCCAAGCAGGCAGAAGTCACTCCCAGTCTGAATGTGCCAATGTGACAGAATCTGCAACACTCCACTTTAAAATCCTCGAAAATCCTACAACACACACATTTATGCATGTATGTAATGTTTCTGTTGAAGGTCCCTTTAGTCCGCTGCAGCTCGGATGAACGCAAGTTAAAATACAACAATGTGTGTCAGCGCGCTGATCCCGTTTGTTTGTCAGCGACACACACCCCATACACACACACACACACCACCCTGACTGTATGAATCGTATGAATCGTATGAATGCACGTTTTTTTCCACGGTGCAGCCAGTAACCATCTACACAGCCCCCGCATTGGGAGGACTCTGCTGACGTCACTGGGGGAGTTAACCAGATGGGCGGGTTTGTAAAGATTGTGAGTTCGCTCGATTCACACACCGCCTGGCCCTGGAAAAAATATAGATAGGCCATTGGGTGTGATTTTAGTTGTTACCATTGACATGGGTTTTACACCCTTAATTAATGTGCTGTAACTAATGTAATAAAAACAATCCACACAAATGAATGAACGGGGCTTTGGGAGGGGGGGGGGGGGGATTCAGACCATGCAGTGTAATGTTTGCATTACGTAACACTGAAACAGACATGTCTGCATTTTTCTTTTCAATCTTCAAATCTATGAATTTATGTTTCACTTTAACTCTTTAATGCGCCTTTTATTGGTTGTGTGCAAAACTGCTCAAAATGTGAACAGGGTAAAAATGAGTTGCTTTAAATTCACACATTTCTACAGAAATTGGATTTATGGGGAGCCCAGGTTACAGATATACTGTGTTATAAATGAATTCCTTCCACACAACAGTTATACTATTACCCATGTAAAAGGCTGCTCCAAGCATCATTAGATACAAATACCATAATAAAAATTGACAACACGATTAAGGATATTCATGTTAAAACAAAGTAGACATACAGTTTATTCCTGATGGAAAGATAACCTTTATGTCCTGTTTACACAATTGTCTGCTAAAAACTATTATAGCCTATAAGAAACGATTATTCAAAAAACACCCCCAACCCGAAGAGATGTAGTTGATCAAATAGGTTTACAGAACAGGCTAGAGTAGAAGGTACAACTTAGTTTTACTAACGTTATTTCATTTGATGTGTTGTGTTAATTGTCAATTAATAAATACAAGGCTTAGTTGGCACACTAAAATAACTTTGAAAAAGAAGGTGACAGCAGTCCAGGTCCCAAACCCTCATTCCCCACCCCTTGCTTACTCCTTTTTTGTTCCAGACGGGACATGCAGTAAATTGTGTTCGATGATATCATGTCATCATTGAATTTAACTTCAATTTCATTTGTTAAATGTGATCTAGTAATTGCAAACAATAATGAAAATTCTTATCTTTATTGTTTGGAATTGATAAATTAAAGATGCATATCTAAGGCCCTGTTCAGCTGGACAGCACAGGGGCATCCAGAACTGGACTTAATATTAAGAGAAGAGCAGTTTCACATTAAAAATCTCTTTTCTTTTTCCAGACACTGCTTGGCTTGGCAGCGGCTGGAGCCAAGCTCATGCTAAGCCCAGCTTTTGTCTCTGATAACTGAATACAGAAGTCTGGTGACTAAAATCCTTCATTCAGAGAAACATCTAAAAAGTCTTTTGTAAAAAATGTGGTTTTAAAACTGGATGAAAATTACATTTATGATCTTTTTTTTCCTCATTGTCCTGTTTATTTGTTACACTGAGTTGTTTTTCCTATGGGTTTTGTTACAAAATTGAAAGGCTACATTATTATTTCTATCCTGTTTCCTGTAAAATGAATATGATTTTGGGTACTAAACTTGTTCAACATTTCTTACAACTGTTGATGATGCCAACATTATAGGCTATAAATCATTTGCATAGGGGTTTGGATATTTGATTGAAAATATCGATAGTGTACACAGTATTCACATTATGATCAGAACGAGTTGTAAGCAATGTGTGTTGGTGTATTTTAAATGTTTAAGGCCTTTTACACTTTTCAAACCGTCCTGAGTGCCTGGACCAGGATCATTTAATGTAGTTTTTGTTTGTTGAGTATTACCTTCATGAGCACTGGTGGTTTCAGGGATATCAGAAGCGCCCCTGTTGTCTCTCTTTTGGTCTAAACATTTTTTTAACTACATATGGAAGAACAATTCTTTAAAAAAAAATAAGAGTTGTATGAGATGATGGATGTGGGGTGAACAAAAGTTACAAACTTCACATATATGACAAATATGACATTCTGTTTTTGTTTGACCTGAGAGACAAAGCAAATAAAAACAGTAGACAGTTTTAAAGAAAACAAACAAAATAGTCCCTAAGCACAATGAATAATCGTTTGACCTACACTCTCCTCACCCAATGAATATGTCTTTTAGGCATTCTCACACAGAACACACACACATAATTATACATCTGCAAATGCAACACCTCCAAATGTTAAAATACAGGGTGGTGTCAATTAAATCCTTACAATACATTGAATTGCAACAATATATATATAGCTCCGTACGGGATATTATATAGCCTACATAATCACAATCTATAGGTATAGTAGTAGATTTGGTTGACAGATGTCGCTTAGTTCGTCCCTGTGTGGCTATTCAAGTCTGACCATGACATCTGCTGGCGTATAAGGGCACTGCTGGAAATTATGTCTTCATATATAATTAAATTATCTTGTTTAGTTTTCGTATTGTTAGTTATAAGGAGGCCAAATCAACGAATTAATAAAAAAATAAAAATAAAAAGCAACGAGTTTCAAGCAAATACACGAATAGCCACAATTAAGAAAACTTAAAACTGAGAACGTGACTGAGCATCCTTCATACGGGCTAGTGGCGCAATGGATAACGCGTCTGACTACGGATCAGAAGATTCTAGGTTCGACTCCTGGCTAGCTCGTTCCTTTTCATTTTCTCTTTTGGACAACGTAGTTTACGATGAAGCAAAAATCAGCTTCAGCTTAACAAGCCATCACTTACATCATGATTTTAGGTACTCTGTATCTTTTCTGTAAAAAGTAATTATCTTCCTACTTTGGTCTAGCTTGTTCTATGTTTGTTGAGCTGAACCACAGCCTCCCCTTTCTTTTCGGTCTCGCAAATAAATCCTACGACAGCTGATCGCGTTACTGTCATCTCCAACATCTCTCAGACAACCGACGGCTTTAGCAAGGAAGCACTGAAAGATAAGATAACAAAAAAACGAGTGTTTTATTTTCGATATCATTAAAAAAACCACAAGATTAATGGTTCGACTCCTGTTATGCTCAATTACCCATTTGAACAGAAAACCATGTAATTAATGGGCCTATGGGGTTCTGTCTAACAGTTTACCATGGTACGTATGGTATACCATGGTAAACTTTCTCATGGGGTTGCTTATTTCCCCCTTTTTTCCGTTCTTCCAGAGGCAGGGCTTGGACCTACAAACCATACGGAGGCCTACATCTGAACAGATATTCAATCTTCACATATATTAGTGAGCAGACAAAAAAGACCATCCTTTGAGAGTTTCAAAACGACTGCAAATTGAGTTATTTTTTATTTTATGTTAAAAAAGCAAGCCTTCACACTCTACAGGGTAATGCAGAGGACAACAAAGCTAAGGGTGCTTGTAGTGCTGCTCTGGAAATATGGCTGTGCGTTATGACTGTAGGCTAATACAGCATGACAATGGAAACTACAACCAGTAGGCCTACACCAATTGCTATGGACCATGTTCCACACTGAAAGCAAGATGTTTTATAATTTTCTTAATACATTTTTTGGGGAAGGGGGGAAAAAGGAAAAACAAAATGAAAGTTCAGCCAATTGAAATGAATTTATTAAATATTGACTTTACATTAATCATATGACACAAATGCATGTCTGCTCTTCATCTTAACCTTAGGGTCAGCTATGAAAATTGACCTCAGCTGACACAAGCAACTTTAGTACTAGGCTAATCCAACACATGAATAACATATAGATATCAAAGTCAGCAATCAAAAGTGTAATTAACACTGCACATACATGAGTACTGTTTGCTCAGTTGGAAAAAAAGAACGAGTACAGGTCTATAATATATCTACTTTTTAAAAAATAAACAATCTTTGTAAATGTAACAATATACATAGAACCACAGGCCTAATATGAATCCCTTCATAGATGCATAGAGAGCTCTCAGGTCTAACTCTTAGTGCCAACAACAAACTGCATGTGAAGAATAATGGCTGTTGATTGAATTACAGCTCTCCAATGTTGCATAAGATACGTTTTAAATGTTGTGCCCTAAGAGCACAAAAGCATGTTAACCTTCAGGATTAAGGCACTGTTCATTGTTTTTAATGGAATGGTTGTGCAAAAGTATTTTATATTTTATTGCATACAGGAATTTTCAAATGATACATGGAAAAAGGGGATTTTAAGGGATGGTTAAAGCAACCTTCATGATTAAAATATCTGTAACCATTTTTTGTGTATATTTCCCACAGGAAAATACAGTATACACTAACTTTTTATCATTTCATGTGGATGCACAATAAGCATCAGCATCCAGAACATTTTGTGGTATATTTCATGTTTCTTATTGTATTCTGTGATATGACCTTTATTTTCCTCTTGCAAATCAAAAAACACATTAGGCAGCTGGGATTTGTGTCACTTTCCGAAGTGGATTTATAATCCCTATCAGAAGCTTTGGACGGATCTTTTATGGATCAATTTGAACTGTAATTCCAAAGCAGAAATGTGAACATAAGGTTGGAGGTACCCTGTATGTTCAATGAGTTGACTATACAATATTTGCTAAATGAATTAAAGTGTTTTTGACATTTGAAAAGAATGACATGGCAACACTATTGCAAAGTCTGCAGCCATAATAATCAATGTTTTCAAAGAAGGGCTTTGGTATATAACAAAACTTAATTGAAAACCTAGGCATAATGGAAAACTTCATTAACATTAATGTAAAAATAAACACAAAAGCACGGCAACATCTGATCTATCATATTAACCAATCCTCTACAACAAGAATTGTAAAAATGTCTGCCCCTGCTGTCAATCACTCTATTGAAGTTCCTCCACAAATCCACCAGGTGTCTCCCTCCCTCCACACACAGCAGGGATCAGAAGGAGGAGGATGATGTGGAAGAGGAGCAGCCAGGCTCTATGTTCTTCAGATGGCAGGAGTGGCAGAAGAGGTGACCATTTAGAGGGTAGCAGCGGTGACCCTCCTCGTCGTTCAGCTCCATCTTACACTCCTGAAAAACAC